TACACCCAGTGTGCTGATCACCACTGGGACCACCGTTACTGGTTTGTGCAAGAGTCTTCGCAGTTCGATCTTTAAATCCTCATATCGTGTCAGCTTTTTCATTTGTTTCTCTTCAATCCTGCTGTCACCTGGGATTGCAACATCAACAATCCATACTTTGTTTTTTAACACGATCATGAGGTCAAGAATATTGTGCTCGAGAACTCTGTCTGTCTGAATTTGGAAATCCCAGAGGAGTTTGACATGTTCATTTTCTGTAACTTTTTCAGGCTTGTAATCCCAACAGTTCTTTGTCGCAGGCAGATGGTATTTGTGGCACAGGATCCAATGAATCATCTGAGCAATTGTGTTATGCCTCTGCTTGTAGTCTGTCTGTATGATCTTCTCGCAGCAGCTGAAGTTGTGATCTATTGTTTCATCTGCTTCCTTGCAGAGTCTACATTTGGGATCTGTCATTGACTTTTCATGGCATTGATGGCATTGGTTCTAATGGCTTGTTCTTGGGTGGCCAGAATCAAGCCCTCCGTCTCCTTTTTCAAAGTTCCATTTGTGAGCCGTTTTTTCTGTCAATTTGGCTCTCAAGTTTTCCCAGGAACTGTCTATGGAGAGCCTTCTTTTGACAGTTTTCTCTTTTGCTCTGGATTGTGTTTTTATGGTATTTCCTCTTTGTCTTTTGCACTTTGAGCGGTTTACTACTATTGACTTCCTTCAGTGTTGGTTCTTGACTGCCTTTCACATAATCGGCTAGTGCATGTTTCTCTTCTTCTACCATTTGTTTCACTTGCAGAATACCTCTGCCTCCTGAATTTCTGGGCTGGTAAAGGTATTATTATTATATTATTATTATTATTATTATTATTATTATTATTATTATTATTATTATGACGTGGCCTCTTGCTGAAGTATTGTTGTGAAGATAAAAATATCCAAACTCACTCTATGTATACTTGAATTGCATTGTTATCCAGTCTTAAAACTATTAGCAACAAATACAGTTTAGAATCATTTCCACAATGTATAGTACACTACAAGCCCCATAACCTTGAGGGATATGTTCCTGGATTTCATGTGGATATGTAAAACTGCAGATAGTATTGAACCCTATTATTTTCAATTAAGCCAATGCCGTGATGAGATGAGGTTGTAGCTTGGAGACAAGACTCTTAAGTGAATAAGTGAAACTGTGTATCTTGGTTCTCTAGGTATGGGGATCACAGAGTAAAGTAAAAAATGTGTTTGCTGGCAGGTTTTAGGAACCTAATGCCAGGTGCTGTAGGCTATATTTCAGAGGGAGGAACTGGGAAAACCACTGCTGAGTATTTCTTGCCAAAGAAAACCTTATGAAATTTATGGGGTCACTATAAATTGACATGTAACTTGTAGACACATACAAACAAACACAGACACATACACCTGGTAGAGAAAGGATAATAGGAATGTGATTGCATACTTACTTAGCTATGGTTTAAATAGTTTTTTTAAGATGCAGAGACGTGACGACTGATCTGATAACCTTCTTGGCTGAGCATGGATTGAACCTAGGCCTGTCTTGCCTTAATCTAGTATCTTACAGTTACACCATACTAGTTCTGTGTGTTTTTCCCCTTCTTTCCTCACAACCCCATTCATTCTGTCTCCTTTTTTACTTTATATTTCTGAGGTTGAAGACTGTTTGAATTCTGATTTGTGTAAGCCACTGTGTGAATCTTTTGTGGATGAAGGGTGAGATAAACATTCTTTTAATACATTAATAAGTGCACCAGGGGCAGTGTTGGAAATGCACAGACACTTTTCTTTTGCACTTTCTGTATTTGTAGGTATTCAATACATCTTTTGATGAATTACCTTTATTTCCCATTTTCTGAGTAAAAAGCAACTCCAAGCTTTAGTCTAAACTTTAACTGAGTTATCCAACTTACTGAACCTATTTATGCTTCAGTACTTTAGATAGCTCCTTTAAAACATTTGTTCTAAAACCCAGAATGGATTCATTTCCCCATTGATACAATGTGTTTTCTTTCTTTTCTTCTTCTCTTCTCTCCTCCTCCTCCTCTTCCTCCTCCTCCTTCTTCTTACAAACATCAATATGTCAATGTACTAGGACTGGTTTATGATGGTAGTAGACAACATCTTGAAGTGTAAAGATATATCACTGAATAATAAAGATGGTCCATGCCCTCGTATTCCCCCATTTCTATGTGTGGCTATAAAAGTTGCACAGGGAAGAACGCTGATAGAAAGTAAATCAACTCATTTGAGATGTGGTGCTAAAGAAGAGGTCTATGGATACCATGGGTTGCCAAAAAGAAAAATAAATGTATCCTACAACAAATATTTTAGCCATATCTGAGACTCACTAGAAAAGTTTAAGGTACTAAGAAAAGAGGGAGACCACATTTCAGTTGGGTAGATTCAACCAGAGAAGCAACAGCTTTAAGTTTTCAAGACCTGTTGAGGAAGGGTTACTTGGAAGTCTCTTATTCATAGGGTTTCCGCTCTGAGTGAGAAAGGTGGGATATAAATATGGTAAATAAATAAATATCTGGTGAATTCTGTCAGTGAGCAAAAACTGTTATGTATATTTGTTTTATTATTCAGTTTAACATGCAATATGTTACATAAATCATTCATGAGTAAATTTCTAGTTCTGTGAAAACTACACTTGTATTTCTCCTAATTTTGTTTCTAATGGGAAAGAATTGGCATTTGTGTTTCCTTCAACCAGCAGTTTCAGGAAACACATATATTTTGGCTCCGATTTTAAGTGTTTTTATCCAATGCAATGTGTAACAATGATAAGAATGACCCCAGACAGCCTGATCTGGACAATCCCTTAGATTACACTTGCTTCCATGCAATCCACTATACATAAGATTTAATGCGCACCGGCATATTTTGATTACATTTCTCAGCTGCAAGTAAATCTGGAACCAAAACCATTTCCACATGGAAAATTTGTAACATTCTGGTAATGTGGAAATCCCTGTCTCAGATGGGATGCAATTTCAGTTTCCTACAGTGTTTTTTTAATCTTCATGTTTTTATATTTGCATAAGAATTGAATTTTTGGATGGCAGTCAAGTGTGTGAAATGGGATAATCTGAAACATGTTGAAGCTATTTAGGAGCCTGTACAGTATAAATGTTTGGTTTCGTTGTATATCTAAGGAAAGGTGTGGTAAATGTTCTCAGATGTCAGATTTAAAAAAAGAAAGAAACAGAGACTAGATTGAGCCACCAAACATTTATTTATGAATATTTGTAAAATGCTTCCTTCCCAAGATTTTAAAGTAGTGTACAACAGAAATAGAATGCAGAATGGAAAATAATGCATAACTTCAATACAGAACATCTAAATTATTCATTAAATGTGCTATAGGCTGAACTAAGCAGGGGAAGGCTTAGAAAAAACATGTACTTAAATATAAGAATTAACAGAGCATATCTAACCATAACAGACAAATTGTGGTTAAGAGGTGCTATTTTGCTTTCATCTTCGACTTGCTCAGAAAACCAGGTTTTGCAGCTACTCCTCTTTTTTCATTTTTTATCTTGTCCTTTATAGATATATTGGCTTTTTTTTTTTTAAAAAAAAATAAAACTCTGAGCTACCCTTTCATAAATAGAAGCAGTCTTTCCATTTACAAAAGTGACTATAATTCAACAGAAACATCTTTGGTGGAAAATGGGAAATATTTCTTCTAGCCCTCCATACCACATCAAACACAGTCACCAATGTTGTTTACATTCTTCAAAACAGATCTTCAGGCTTCAAAGAAGGAGAAAAAGTGGGAAAAATAATATTCCCTGGCAGCAGTAACTTGTCATTTCATAGAATCATAGAGTTGGAAGAGACCTCATTGGCTATCCACTCCAATCCCCTACCAAGAAGCAGGAAAATTGCATTCAACGCACCCCAACAGATGGCAATCCAGCCTCTGTTTAAAAGCCTCCAAAGAAGGAGCCTCCAGCACACTCTGGGGCAGAGAGTTCTGCTGCTGAACAGCTCTCACAGTTAGGATGGTCTTCCTAATGTTCAGGTGGCATCTCCTTTCCTATAGTTTGAAGCCATTGTTCCACGACCTAGTCCCCAGGACAGCAGAAAACAAGCTAGCTCCCTCCTCCCAATAACTTCCCCTCACATATTTATACATGGCCCTCATCTTGTCTCATCTCAGCCTTCTCTTCTGCAGGCTAAACATGCCCAGCTCTTTAAGCCACTCCTCATAGGACTTGCTCTCCAGACCCTTGATCATTTCAGTAACCCTCCTCTGGACACCTTCCAGCTTGTCAACATCTCCCTTCAATTGTGGTGCCCAGAACTGGACACAGTATTCCAGGTGTATTCTGATGAAGGCAGAATAGAGGGGTAGCATGACTTTCCTGGATCTAGACACTAAACTCCTATTTATGCAGGCCAAAATTCCTTTGACATTTTTAGCTGCCTCATGATATTATTGGCTCATGTTTGACTTGTCCACGAGGGCTCCAAGACCTTTTTCACATGTACTGCTATCGAGGCAGGTATTCCCCATTCTGTATCTTTGCATTTCATTTTCATTTCAGACATCACCTTGGTTTGCACATTCACTTCAAACTGTACTTTTAAGCTTATAGAAGGATACAGTTTGTTGGCTCAGCCATTATGATATAAGGCATAGGGAATGTTTCCCTAATGGTTTTTTGGGTTTTCTGAATTCACCTGCAGTCTTAAAGGGAGATGCTATATAGTACTTTTTCACATTTTTCCTTCTGCATTATAAATGAATATGAAATGTAAGGAGTAATTTGAACTTTTCAATAGATATTATATTCTGTTGTCTTTAACATTCTTTCTTGTTCTTCCTCTTCAAAAAATTGTTGTGGCAGAGCACATAGCCAAACTTGGAACACATGCTTAAATAATGGAACATTGCTCCAACACTGAACATTAATTTTAAGGCTAATATTTCTGCATTTAAAGAAGCTAAAACTTTTGTGCCTTGTGTTTTCTTTCCATAGGGACTCAAGCAGGAAGTTGAGCCTGATGTGTGAAGTTGTGCCCTCAATGTATGTAGCAAATTTCATTCTGACGCTTTCAGTATTTAACATAATTCTCTTATTTTCACAAATGAGCCAATACACATGAGCAGAATGCTGATAAGCCAAAGAAACGCCTCGCTTTGTTCAGCCAGTAAGTTTCCAATAGCTCTCAAGCAAAATATAGTGGGATCTTTATATCCATTGGTCTTTGGTTCCAGGATACAAGTCCCATTACGTACAATGGCATAGTACAATGGTGTCTCTTATATAAAACTGAAAAAATAAATTTTAGATTTTGGATTTTTGTTGTATATTTTCATGCTCTGCATGGTTGTTTTTTTTCGTGTCAGGAGAGACTTGAGAAACTTAGTCACTTCTGGTGTGAGAGAATTGGCTGTCTGTAAGGATGTTGCCGTAGGAATGCTCAGATGTTTTGATGTTTTACCATCCTTGTGGGAGGCTTCTTGCATGGGGAGCTGGAGCTGACACAGGGAGCCCAACCAATTCTCCCCTGATTTGAACTGCTGACTTGTTGGTCAGCAGTCCTGCCAGCACAAGGGTTTCAACCCATTGTGTCACCGAGGGCTCTGCATGGTTGAATTCCATAGTTATGAAATGTAGACTGTAACTTGGAATCTGTGGTTCTTTGTTGAATTAAGTGATCTTTAGGAATATGGTTTCTAAGAATAGATCTTTTCTGATGTTGGCAGTCTGCAAGTTAATCTCCATAAAGGCAGGTTAAATTGTATTAATGCATTAATGCAATTTAATCAGAGTAAGATATTTCTATGCTACCAAGCCTTTTCTGTATTTTAATTCTGATCTACCCCTCCTCTCTCTCTTTCTTTGAGTTGGTTTCAGCATGAGTAACAGGAGAACATAGAAACATACCAATAATTAATAAATTATTCATTAATTTGGGAAAATGATTACATTTCGGTAGTTGTGAGCTCCTTGGGTATGTTACTACTTCAGGACGGATTGTTTGAAGACAAAGGATCTGATATGGAAAGATAAGAAAAAGATAACTGCCAACTCACAAAACTCTTATTCCTTTAACAGGGCAGCTTGATGATGGTGAAGCTGTGGCAATGAAAAATACCTACTCAAACTTCAAAGCAGTTTAAGTTGGTAAGTATAGCATCAGACTGGCTAAATCAGTTTTAAACCCTATGGATAGTCATGCCTCCCATTTAAAATACATGCAACAATTGTTGGGCAATTCAATTCGCCTTGTGCCTAACCAGGGAAGAAATCTTAGGAAGCTTGCCTGTACATTTACATAATTGGACAAAAATGGTCCAGTTATGTAAGAATACTTACCCAAATATACAAATCTTTCAGGAGGTTCTCAGGCTTGCTTTGCAAATATTGACAATGAAAGCATGAGAACACTTTGACATGGACCAGCTGAAGCAATGTCAATATCATTAAATGCTTGCTCCCAACATTTGCGGAAGGGACATTAATCCAAGGTAGGAGTGTGTGAGGAATCCAGTTTAAGTTTGTGTTTCAACAGGTTTGCTTAGACTACATTTCTGGGATTGGCTTGCATTCTGGAAGCCTCACTTTGATGGAAAGCTATAGATAGACCTGAATAAAATTTATTTATTTATTTACTGCATTTGTATACTGCCTTTCTCAGCCAATCGGTGACTCAAGGCAGTTTCCAACAAATCAGTACACACCCATTTGTAGGTCCTCCAGTGTGTGTCTGTGGTCAACTTCTGGTGAAGGTTGACTATAAAGTTGCATTGGAAGACCTAGAGCAGTGAGTCCCCAGATGTTTTGACCTTCAACTCCCAGAAATCCTAACAGCTGGTAAACTGGCTAGGATTTCTAGGATTGTAGGCCAAAACACCTGGGGACCCACAGGTTGAGAACCACTGACCTAGAGATTTCTAGAGAGGTGCTCTTGCAGGTTAAAAAAACCCCAGCATTATTTGTATTTACCCCTGGTGCTGGCAAGACTGAAGACAGGTCGGCGGTTCGAATCTGGGAAGAGCATGAATGAGCTCCCTCTGTCAGCTCCAGCATCCCATGTGGGGACATGAGAGAAGCCTCCCACAAAGATGGTAAAAAAATCAAAACATCCGGATGTCCCTTGGGCAACATCCTTGCAGACAGCCAATTCTCCCATATCAGAAGTGACTTGAAGTTTCTGAAGTCACTCCTGTCACAAAAAAAAATTGTTTCCCCACTTTTTTGCTTTTTATGGACTACAAATTCTTTGATTTTAGAAATGCACCTGTAGTACACACAGCTACATATGATCTGGGGAAAATAACCAGCTGCCTCTTGTCTTCTCTTTGCTTTTCCTTCCTTCAGCTTTGTGCTTCCAGCCTTCATTGAGTTGGTTCAGTGGCTTGTCACCTAGCCAGTTTCAGTAGCACTAAGGCAGATTGCTCAGATTAAATATTTTAATTAAGTTAGTAATTAATTGAAATATGTTTGCCTGGATGTGTTTCTTTTTAGCTTTTAAGCTGTGCCAGTTATGTTTGAGATACTAATGATATTATTGTAGCAATGGTGTGCATTAAACATGAAACAATAATAGATGACAAGAGTGCAGTTGAAAATCCATGCTGCCTTGTGATGGCAGAGTGTGATGGGAGAAGGCAGATAGCTTTGATTGCAGCTGCATTTTTCAAAAAGGAAAAACCAGCTCTACATAGACTGTATCTAAAATTGTGGGTCTGTCTGAATGGTATTTTCATGCAGCTAAAAATAGGTCACGCTGAGCCAGGAAAAGATAAAGAAGGGGGGAAAAGAATGTGGTTGGGAAAAAAACCAAGCTGACAACCAATGGATTTTTAAAAAATAATAATAAAAGGATTGGGTGTAGAGCTACAGAAAAAGGAAACAAACAAAAATAATTCCTTTAAGCTTTTATGTGTATAATACAAGAATGATGTCAGAGAAGGGGTTCCAATTTAGGATTGTTCCAGGCCCAACTTTGAGAGGAGGAGACAGTTCCTGTTGATGTCATTAAGCATTATCCATTCAATACCAAAGGGCCTAAATACCTTAAAGGCATCTGATTCTATCTGATTTTGGAAGCTAAGCATGCTCAATCCTGCTTGATACATGGATGGGAGACCACCGGTAAATACCAAACACTATAGCCTATACTTAAAAAAAAAACAATAGATCTAAAAACATACTGGAAATGACTATTAAAATAGGATTACACTAACAACAAAATTATGTAAAGCTACACCTTATAAGGTAAAATACTATTAAAAGTTAACAAAAGCAATTAAAACAGATCAGTTTAGAACAATACAGAACTTTCAGACCCCTTGACATTAAGTCTAGTTATGTCTGATTCTGGAAGGTGGTTCTCATCTCAATTTCTAAGCCAAAGAGTCAGCGTTGTCTGTCGGCGCCTCCAAGGTCATGTGGCCCGCATATATACATATTCAACTTTTATAATGATAGATGGATAGATAAGCAGCACCTTGAATTGTGTCAGTTATAGAGCTGTAAGTAATTATGTTTGAAGATAAGCTCTGAGAAAGCAATCACCACTCCAGGTAATCAGAAAGTGTGTGTGTGTGTGTGTGATGAAACTGCTGCCTCTCAAAGATAACACAATTGCAGTAACTCTGCTAGTGAGCATTCTTTGCAGGAAACCAATTCAGGAAACGGAATAGTGTTGCTTTCCAACAGCTTTTGAAGAAGTAGATAATGCTTAAAATGTAATTTTAAAAAGAGAGCCTGAGTTCTAGCTCAGCCCTAGACATTGTTGAATATGGCCTTATTCTTCCTACCAATTACCCAGGTCACTTCCTCTAATAGCCCCGGAAATGAACAGCCATAGACTCGTACCTATTATTATTGTTGCCTGTTATAGCACTGCATTTAATTCCCGGGCCCCCTAGAGTTTTTGAGCTCACAAAAATCTCGGCCCAGCCTCTTAAATTGCCTTGAACAGACAGGATTACTTTTTATATATACGTGTTATGGCGACAATTTTTTATGCTTATATTGTTTTGTTAATCTTATGGTTATGTTGTTTACTCTGTATGTATTGATGATGTTACTTGGAAACTGCTCTGAGTCCCCTCAGGGAGATAGAGCGGTATATAAATAAAGTTTTATTATTTATTATATTATTACCAGAAAATTAGGAACTATTTCCACATACTAAATAGTCCAAACTTAGTGTGCTAAAACTAGGTTTGGGTTAACAGCAAGGGCAAAGAATACTGAGAGCTGCAGACCAATACATCTGAGAGCCCCAATTTAGGCAAAAATCTTACATTCTCAGTTATTATGGCAAGCATTGTGTAACCCAGGGTCTTCCATATTCCTTGCTATCTTTCACAGGATTTTTTTTACACAGGTTTATTAGATTCTCAGCATACAGGTGCTTTATTTTATGTTTCACATGCAGAAAACACACCCAGTTCTTAGATGAACTCCACCTGGTTTTTAGAGTAGTTTCACCTTGAGCCAGGTTTTGAAGCTTTTGGTGCCTGCAGTCATTTTTGCTACGAAGCCTAGAACAGGAGTGGCAACAAAGCAGAGTAAGGGCTATTTCACAAACAAACTTGTGAATCCACGCCAGGAGTTTGAAGTGCCTCCCAAGCATTCAAAAGGCCCAGAAACAATGCCATGGAGAATATAATAGAAGGGTCTGTGCTTGTTTTAGGTTATCCTGGGATGGATTACATTTTTTTTCTTTTGCTACTCTGCTCATAAAGATATGGTTCCTTTCTTGATCAAAATCAAGGTACAGTAGTTTCATTGACCCATGGATAAGGAGTCCAAGTTTTTTAAGTTGATTTTTTGACTAAAATTTGTAGACTTATACATGAATATACGGAGCAGTTCTAAGACTACAGTGAGCTCACACTTCCATGAAGTCAGTGGAATTTACATTGGAATAGAGACCCTATATCACATTTCAATTTGATGACACTTCAGTGCAATGCTAGGAGCAAGCTGCTTGTGCCTCTCCTTAATAGAATTTTTACCCTTTTTGTCATGAAGATATGCAAGCTGGACCCACGGTAAAAATGTCTATGTTTCTCTTTGAGTTGGGTAAGCTGGCAAAGTTCCATTTGAGAGGATACAGAAAAGAACAAGAAGTATACAGGGTCTTTTGTTTCCCAGCATACTCTTCATTCTTTGAATGTCCAAACCTGCTCAGATCTGGAGAGATGCCTCAGGGAATTCGCTTCATTTTGAATTTCTCTTTGTACTGTCATTTTCTTTCCCTAGTTTCATCTAATGCAATGACCCAGCAACCCCAAGATGAATTTGACAGCAGTGTGGAGCAGGCATTAGACTGGATGAAGACTATCCACGAGAGACTAAAGATCAATGACAATACCAAGGGGCCCCGATCTGCCTTGGAGGCTAGGCTGAGGGATACAGAGGTAAGAAAAAAGATACTTCTGATCCGCTGTGTCATTTTTTTGTACAGATATGCCTCAGGTTATAAAGCCTCTGACCACTATACTACTTTTCACAAAATCTTTTTTTCATATAAATTTTATTGTAAATATATGATAATGAGGAAGGGCACAAGAATGATATAGAACGGGCATTTTTAACGTCTTACATCTTCGTCTTCTTCCATTGTTATATAAAACAAAAATGGTTTCCATGATGTTAAAAAAGAAAAGAGGAAAAAAGAACACTTCTTTTCTAATCTAAAACAGTAGGATAGAAAAGAAGATGCACAGTGTTTTGAAACAAAGAGATAGAAAAGTTGAGAAATGGAAAATAGCCCCAATTAAAGCTTCCTGCTCTGTCTCTGCTGTCTTCTTCATAATAAAGAAACCTATTATTTTTGTCATTAAAATCCTTATCCAGGATTCCTTGGATATCATTGGGGATCCTGTTATTCTTGTCACTAACTTCTCTGTTTTTTTCTTTTATTGTTATTTCTACATCCCTGTACTAATTTTCCCTTGATGCAATAGAAAATGCAATATTTACATTTTCTTTTCTTCTTTTAAATAGACAATAATTAGATTTTTTCTTCAAATTTGAGAGGGTCTAGAGATTGGATAAATGTGATCAATTTGCCCATTTCTATCAGATTCATCATTTTTTGTAATCTGTAAATCTTGAGTGGGAATTTCTTCAGTAATCGCAAATTCCTTCAGTAATCACAAATAATGAAAAGTTCTTCTCATCTTATTTGGAGAATTTAGCCCATTTATATTTAAGGAAAATATCTTAAGAGTCCTTGTTATTGAGATAGTTGATGATCATCCAATTCTATTTCATCATGCGGAGTAGCCTGTTGTTTTTGAAAATCTTCCTTATCCAGGATCTATTGAAGTTGCCATCTCTTCTTGCCTTCTTGGATGTTCTCTTTCTCCTTAGTCTTCTGAGCTTTCTAATGAATCTAAATCTTTTTTAAAATTTCTCATAAAAATCCTGAATCTTCATGACTGATGTTAACCAATATCTTTGTCCTTTGTAAGATACAATCAGTTATTCTGGGTTTTCCCATCTGAATCTGTAGCCTTTTTTCTTAACTTTACCTGTCAGGAAAAAGTAATCTCTTCTTTTCTTTATTGTCTGAGGTAGAAGTTTTCTTAATATTGCAGTCCTGGTATTTCCTACTTCAATGGAATTTTTGGCATGACCTTGTAAAGCCTCATGCTTTTTTTCTTGTCAGCAAACCAGTCACATCTCTTGGAAGTTTATTCATTAGTGCATGTTGGTATTGAACCCTAAAGGTCCTGTCAGTTTGAGTCTCAACCACTTGCTCTGGTCTACCAAGGATTCCAGCCACAACTTCTTTTATTGCCATAGTAAATTCCTATACAGATTACGGTATTCTTCTCAACCTCTTCTCAACCTCTAGTCTTCTGTTCTAGTCAATCCTCTACTAATAGTATTGCCTCTGTCATCAGTAGTGTGGTACACAAGATCACCAAAATTCTGGAATTTTTTTCCATGCTCCATCTCTGTTGAAAAGGGACAGGTCTTTCATAGGGCTGAGGGCGCTTTCATTGTGAGACAAGCAAAACATAGAAAAATCTTAATGCTAGTGAGGAAGCAAGAAGGTGTTTATCATTCTCCTCCCTCCAAATCCAATTCCATTCCAGATTAGAAGACTCACATATGCTATTTGAATTGGAAGAAAGCTTCCCGTTGATTTACATGGGAATTTCATGGATTTACATGGGAATTTCATCTCAGTGCAAACAGATACCTCCACACCTGGTCCAGATCAGGACAACAGCAGAAGACAAAGGGTTAACAAAAAGTCCTGTTTCCACACAAAGGTCCTTGTTTATACTAGAGGCATCGCATCTGTTTTTTGTTTGTTTCAGCCATTCATGCATATGTGGTGTTTTGCCTCATTTAGTTAGAATGATGTGTCTGTTGGTTTTTGTTTCTGGTGATTTTTTCCCTTACTGCAGTGATTTTGGATCTTAGTATTATTGTTGGTTTATGTGCTTGTTAAGGATTTTAATTATTGTAAAGCAACACTGGGTATTAACTGATTCAAAGGCGGGGGTATAAAGGTTTGATTTAGTACTGACAAAGGAATTTTTAGTAGTTATTCATCATAGTGCAAGCTGGGCCTTGATCATTTATTTTAGGGTTGCACTGGGATTTAAAATTGTCTGTTGTAATAACCATGTTGCAGGCAAACAGAAGTGCTCTTCATGGGTTGCAGCCATTTAGTATCCCTGTTCAGGAAAAACTGATTCTGGGTTGGATCCTGCATTTGTGCACATACATGTACAAAGACACACTGATTGACGTAGATCATTTTAGCATTTATTTATTTATTTATCCTGTAATACTTTCAAATTGTGATTAATTCAGGCATTACTGCATAATTCACAAAAAGAGACATTGTTTATCCTAGTGCAAGAAAGATATATGGCTATTTTAAAGGCCATTTCAATAGTTCATTATATTATTATTTACAGCATTTATATACTGCTTTTCTCACCCCGAGGGGGACTCAAAGCGGTTTATGTGCATGTGTGTATATATATAGAGGGGGGAGGATTTTTAAAAAGTCAAATGATAGAAAATAAATTTCACATTGTCATTACAGGCAGTCCCTGAGTTACAAACATCCAACTTACAAACAACTCATAGTTATTAACAAGGGTGAGACAACAGGAAGTGAAAGAAATCTATCCCTCAGAAGGGGAATTTACTCCTGAAAGAGTTATCATGGGGGAAAGGGTTCTCCACTGAAGCTTTATCTCCATACTTTGTTTCCACAACAAGCCAATGTTTTCAAAATCCAATTATCAACCGGACAGAAAGTGAGGGGAAATCTTCTGAACAGACAGTAAAACAAACACCCAGGGGTGTTCACTCTTCCCCATGATATCCAAAGTGTGTGTGTGTGTGTGTATGTGTATGGCGGAGTTGCACTTAAATGTACCTGTTCTGACTTAAGCACAAATTAATTTCCATTCTCTGCATGCATTAAGTAAACTTTGGCATTGTAAAGACAGCCTTCTTCATTCAGTCCCAGAGTACTTTGAAAATATGTTTGAAATGTCTCATTGTTAAAAAGGAAGGTGAGGAGAGAGTGAGGATGGATGATCATGACGTAAAGTGAGAGCTATAAACTAACATGTTAACTCAAGAGTGCTGCAGTATCAGTTTGGAGGCTTATCTAATCCAACATTGTTTTATTAGAGTGACCAAACAGAAGCTTCTCATGGGCCACAGACAGGATATCTATGTAACTCATTTCAGCAAATAGTGTTCACTCTGGTGTCCTGGGGGAAAAAAAGAGCATCTGGAATAGGAGACACAATGAGCCTGATTTCTCTGAATTAGTTTGATCCCATCCTAAAGCTGTCCAGTTAAGTGGCCATTGCCACATTTATAAGATATAGTTAGATCAACTCTCTGTCCTGGTGGCTGATCAAGCTCAAGACTGCTTGGTTTCTTTGGCTATGTAGTAGCAATTCCTTTTAAACTATTCATATCTCTCTATGCCACATGGTTCTGGATAAGAATCTACTTCACAAGTTCCACTGCACTGGAGGAAATAACCTGTGGTTTTGCCCCCAGATCATTTCACTTTTTGTACACCTGGATTTATAGACTGGCATATGCAAATCTTGTTTCGAAATAAGATCACAGTCACTTTATTGTTGTGGGCCTTTACTCCATTTCCAACTTATGGTGAACTAGAAGCAAATCTATCATAGGGTTTTCTGGGTCACCAGCTGGCTGAATGGGGAATCGAAAGCTGGTCTCCAGAGTTGTAATAATCACTAGGTCAAGGCAATTGCAATTGGCTCTTTAGGCCTGGAGTTGTGTGGTGCTTGGTTGTATTATAGTTTTTACTCACCTTGAATATGTATGTATTTATTTTAAATTGAATTCCTCTTTGTTGTTTTTATATTTATAGCCTGCAAAGCAGTTGCCATTAATAAAAAAAGTTAAAAATACATAACTGAACCAAGGAAACAATATTCAATTACAGAAGTGATGACAAATCACAAAATTGTTGCAGTTCAGCCTTTAATTGTGCCTGCACCTGATTTTTATGGGGATTCTGGGCCTGATAGTGGGGATTCTGGGTCTGCAAGTCAGCAGGAGAGCCAGCAAGGGATTTTAACTCCAAAAATGAGTGTTCTCTGTCTGAAGGCCACCTTCCTGAAAGGCAGATCCCTAGAGAATCAAGGTCAGGAACGGATCTGAGCTCAGAGAATGAAAATTCTAATGAGCATTTAGATAGGAGATCTATGTTATGTCAACATAGAGCTTCATAGGAGAGTTTACAAAAGTCAAGGTGCCTATTAGCCAAGAAGTCCTTATCAGTTTCCCAGGAGAGAGGGTAGATAGGTCCGTCAGTCCAGGCAACATTGGTGTTTGAGTATAGATCTATTGTCAAGTCAAGGGATTTCTACTTCCATGTTCCATGTACCCTTTTGTTCATGTCTCATGATTCCAAGTTTTGAGGACTGTTCCTGAATCTCCTGTTTTGGATTTATTCTACTTTTGTGTAGAATATTCGTTTGGATTTATTCTACTTTTGTATTCCTGGTTTTTGATGCTACTCCTGTACTTTGATTTCTGTGGATTATTCTTGATAATTGGGCTTTGGTTTTTTATACTGTTTTGTTGAATTGCCCTTCATATATATTCTTCAAAGTAAACTGTTTTGCTATTTTATCTTGGACTTGTGTGTGTGTTAAGTACAGAGGTAGTTCCCTGCCTTGGAGTGCAACAAAATTTTGGCTTTATTTCATAATCAAAATAGCAGAAACAGATAAAACCTTAGAAATGGGGCAAGTACATACTGGAAGAAGTGAACCTTTAAATTTCTTCTATGTACCTGGGAGATGGCATTTTAAATATATTGTGCCATGATAGAAAATGCATTGTTCCTTATACTCATAAATCTTAGAAATCTTTCTTGTGAACCAGAGGGCAGGACCAGGAATAAAGCTGATTCTTCATATCCTGATTGTCTTTCAGACAGTTTGTCCTAAAGTAATTGTAGTCTTTTGAAGTTAACACAGAATTAAGAAAGAAAGTGTTGCCTATGCAGAATGGGTATGACTCTAGTTCTTGTTTTTCTGTTCACTTCATGGTACACCAGTTGCAATTTCTAGACCATCTTTAAGGTAGCCCCAAGTGCTATTGCCTCTTTCTGAAGCTGAGAGAGTTGGACATGCCAATGAGTTTCCTTGATGGAAATAAGATTGAAACTCTGGTGTTCTGAATTCCTAGTAAAATACTCAGACCACCCACATCATATTGCCCTTTTTCAGTACCTTATTTCTAGAAGTATAGGGTTTTTTTTGTTTTGTTTTAAGCTTCCATTTAGAAATAATTTCATGGATTAATTTTACTGTATATTCTTCCTAACAGAAAATCCGTGCGTTGAAACCAGAAGGCCAATTGAAAATGGATTTGGTTCTTATGAAGGCTAATGCTCTCCTGCAGTGCACCAGTGAAGAGAAAAAGCATGAAATATTATTCAAACTGAAGGATATTAAAGCTATGTGGGAAGAAACAGCCATATACATTACACATTGTCACAGGTACAATTACCATTGCTGTCTCCTAGAGCTCTGCTAGCCAGTGGAGTCCTTAGCTACCTGGTCAACCTAAAACTGGCAGATGATTTTATGCCTATTTCTCTGACACTTGTTTCAAAACTTCCCACGCCCAGCCCTATTGCCAGGAAAAGGGAAGCAGTTGCCTCAAGTATCTTGTACTGGCAGATGTGGGAGGGCAATGGTGACAGTGTCTGTATTTCAAAGAAAATGAATCCTGGCAGTCTTGTATTTTATTGTACAGAGGCCGGGATAACTATTTGACTACAGCAAGATCTGACATGTATCCACAATGCCCAATTTCAGTAATTTACACTACTTTAACTGTCATGTGTTTGTCCCAAGGAATCCTTGGATTTATGTTTTGTTTTGGTGGTTTTTTTTGTGTCATGAGTGACTTGAGAAACTGCAAGTCACTTCTGGTGTGAGAGAATTGGTCGTCTGCAAGGGCGTTGCCCAGGGGACACCCAGATGTTTTAACATCCCGTGGAAGGCTTCTCTCATGTCCCCACATGAGAAGCTGGAGCTGACAGATGGGAGCTCACCCCACTCCCCATATTCAAACTGCCAACCTTTCAGTCAGCAGTCCTGCCAGCACAAGAGTTTAACCCATTGCGTTTTGGTGGGGTACTTTAAATTTTCTCTGGTCCAGTCCCCTAATTTTCTAGCAGGTCATACTTAAATACTTTACTGACTGGAATATGGCTCTTAGTATTCCATAGGGTGGAGGGATAGCAGTTGAAGTGCTATCAAAGAGTAGTACCTATGCAGCATGGATATACCCCAGATTCTACAAAGACCATTTTACAGAACCTGTGTAGCATACCATGCAGGAAATATCACTATATCAAGAGTCACATGAAAATCAGAATGCAACTTCTAGACCTCAGGATTGCTTCCTCAATGTGTAAGCTGTCCATCAGAGAATCTGTTATTGTAGCATGACCACAATGTCCCAGCTTACAATGGGAAAACTAAATGTATGACTTCTAGATAGGATAACGTGTTTCAGATAACAAATACAAGACAATCTCTATGCTTTGTTAACAAATAGGAAGAGCCCAAGAAGAGGGAATGACATAGTCTTGCTGAGACTGGTGCAGCTAGCCCACCCTCACCAGATAAAGGGAGCCATTTTCAGCTTCCTCACAGTCAATTCATGAGCCTTCTCTGATGAACCAAGTACATTGTCTCCAAACTTGTTGATTCAGGATAACCCAGACATAATACCAAAACAGATGTTATCAGCATCATTTCCTGTATCTCTTTTGGCTGAAACAGATATAATTAGATACTTAAACTATGATTCTAGGTTAGCTGTTTAACAAAATAGTGTATGTCTGGATTTTGTACAGCAAAAGGACATATTTGCCCAGGTTTCTTCTATCCTTTCTTATGCATTTTCTCTGATGGAAGTAGTGAGGTAAATCTGTATTGATTTTGCTAGAGGAATGTATGCCAGGAATAATACTAATGGTTTTCATCCTGGTTTACTAATCAAACATAAACCGTAATTTACAATTTCATACAAAATTACAAACAAAGAGTTGCCACCAGCTAAGAAAATTGAGATAATTGTCATGTGTAAAAGCAACAAAAAGAAGAAATGTGGCCAGAAGTCTTTCAAAATACATGCATGTAGATAAACCATCCATAACAACCTCTCTAGCACAGAAGGAGGATATGTTTGCAAGTTACTTCAGGGCCTTGAAATTGGTTTGGAAGAGATTCTGTGTTTCCATAATTGATTTTCCAAGCATTAGGACTCCTTTGGGAAGTGTCATTTAACACATTAAACTGTCTTTTTCCCCATGATAGTCGTATTGAATGGGTTTGGCTGCACTGGAGTGAATACTTGAAGGCCCAGGATGAATTCTATGTGTGGATTCACAACATGAAGGTGACCTTGGAGCCAGACATAGAACTACAGCTTGGTTTCAAGGAGAAGCAGTGGCAGCTCAGCCATGCTCAAGTCCTTCTGAACGATGTAGTAAATCAGGCAGTTCTGCTAGAACGGCTACTGGAAGAAGCCAGTTCCCTGTATAATCGGATTGGAGATCCAAGTGTGGATGAAGATATCCAAAAGAAAATGAAGGAAGAATATGAAGAGGTCAAGAATGAAGCACAGGTGAGAAGAACTAACGATTTCGCTAGAAAATGGTAAAAGTACAGGCTGCAGAGTGAGGGTGAAGGGTCAATGTAAGTGTAGTTCATTAAAGCCGATCTTTAATGTTGGCTTAAAATTACAGAGTTGGAAAAGATAACAAAAGTCATCCAGTCTAACTCTGCCATACAGGAACACACAATCAAAACACTTCTGGCAAATGGTCGCCCAGACTCCCTTAAGCCTGCAAATAAAAAATCACTCTTGCAGTGGCACCTCTAGTTCCCAATTGCCTTGAGAGCCCACTACTTCATAATGCTTTTTCCATGACAGCCTTCAGCTGCCTGGGGAATTGAAGACTTCTTGTGAGTCATGTGGCAATACTGAGAAGCAGAGAAACCTCTTTTGGGCTAGAACTACAGAGTTCTGGTATTTCTTAGACTTACTTGATTTTTCCTATTTAATTGGATTATTTTGGGAACTTATACTGGGCTGGCTATCCCTATGTGTATATGCCCCAGAGCAACCCCAAATCCAGTAGGTAGGTGTTGAATTGAGACCTGGTACCCCTCTGGACCAAGACCACATCAACTGGGATGTTACCACATCCTCCGTGTCACTGCCACCAGTACTCAATGTGCAAGTGCCATCAGCTGTTGTGTCTACTGATATTCCTACACAACCAGCAAGAAGGGCCCCGTCTTCTTGATGATCACTGTAAGTCAAACCCTACAAGTTGGTTACACAGTCACTCACTTCTGACATCATCAGCCACAGCTACAATGCAAAGCATTTACCTGGAGTTATGTGGATGGAAGGGAGAGATGGTTGTGTTATGAAGGATGAATTATCCTCTTGCCCTCTGCTGATTGGCCTAGAGCAAGCTTTTAGAGACTGAGTGCCCAAACCGGGGGCTGGGCACTTGGGGGTGTGAGCAAGGGGGATGAACAAGTGATTAAGGTGGGGGGGGGGCATGGGGCAGAGCAGGTGACATTGCATGTGCCAGGAGAGGGACCACTGTATGCTTCTGGCATGTGTGCCATAGGTTCACCACCACTGACCTAGGAGAAGGGTGGTGACAGCAGTACTGGTCTAAACCCAAATTTAGCCAATACAGATTCGATCCAGCTGTCCAGACTAGCACAAAGCCCCCAAAAAACTTTGGAGTTTCCTGCAAAGTCAAGAGTATCCTCAGTTGTACCTAAAGTCGTGTTGAAGACAGAAAACCTGGGATACTCACCAGATGCTCCAGTGCATCATGGAGACTGGCAACAATGAATTCAAGATGAGTCCAGATTTCTTGGTTAATGTAGATAAGCCCTTACTTTTGTACTGTATGTACACTCTGCCAGTCTGCTACACCTTACCCTAAAACACGTGTGTCAAATGCAAGACCTAATGGGCCTAATCTAGCCTGCCACTTTCATTTATTTGGCCATGAAGTCCAGGCACATGTAAACCAAACTGCCAAGTTGAAAACAGGAAAAGGTACACATGCACACTAGAATATGTGCTTGTCACCCTCTCTAGTGGCTGGATGCGGTACAGCACACAGGGACTGTGTGCTCCACAGTGATCTCTACTAGTTGGGGTAATTTGCAGATTTGGGCAAATTGCACCCCTCTCTCTATGGTCCTATCACCTCCTACTGTTCATGTCAATAGGAGCTGGAATCACAAAATGTCCAAAGAGTTTAACTGCTCATCAATTAGCTTTATTCTAACAGTGGGTAAATATCGACCCTCAAGATGCTGGACTACTACTACATCATTGAACCACAAATAGAGCTGATGGGATTTGTGATACAGTTGCATTTGGGAGGCAGCTATTTGTTCTATTTAGTCAGGAGAGTGAGGTTTGGATTTAGATACAAGGGTTGTGGATTTGATGGCTGACTTAAAATGCCCTTTAGCCTTTTCTCACCTTAAGAGACATATAGAATCCTAGAGGTGGATGAGACCCCAAGGGCTACCCAGTCCAACCACCTTCTGCCAGGCAGGAAGGCACAATCCAATCTCTCCTAACAGATGGCCATCTATTCTCTGCTTAATAGATGGCCATCTATTCTCTGCTTAAAGGCCTCCAGAGAATTTATTTATTTATTTATTTCGGACATTTATATCCTGTCCTATCTCAACCTCTGCAGAGAGACTCAGGGCAGCTGACAACAAAAGCATAAATATACGTTTTAGGTAAAAATAGTATAAAACATTATAAAAACATCATAAAAACAGTAAAAACATTAGAACAATCACCAGAATTAAATCATTGCCCTACACACAGTCCATTTGAGTCCATCAGAGTCCATTAAACCATAGCTCTACCATCACGTCAGTCTAGTCCACAAAGGCCTGATCCCACAGTCAGGATTTCACCTTTTTCCGGAAAGTCATGAGGGAAGGAGTGGATCTGATTTCACTTGGGAGGGAAGGCTCCAACAGAATCTGAGGCAGTGTATTCCACTTCCAAACAGCTCTGTCAGAAAGTTGTTCCTAATGTTCAGGTGGAATATTTTTTCTTGCAATTTGAATCTGTGACCTAGTTTCCAGAGTAGCAGTGCTGCTGCGTTGCCATTTCCATCATCTCCAACACTGTCCACATCCTCTGCATTTCAAATGCAGCAGACAGAAAATGTAACTAGTGCTTGTCTTTAATTAGTAATTTGTCTTTAAATTACAAACAATTATTTGAAGGCAACCATAAGGCTGATGTGGCCCTTAATGAAAATGAGCTTGACACCCCTGTGCTAAAGAAGCCAGATCCTGTCTGATATTGAAAGCTAAGCTGGGTCATCTCTGGTTGGTACTTGGCTGGGAGATGGCTAAGGCCTGTCTTGTGCTGTAGAAGAAGGAAACAGCCAAACCTCTGATATTCCTTCCTGGGGAAACCCAATGAAATTAGAGTTGCCAACAGTCAGTTGGAGGGTATGAAGTCACATACATTTCATAACCATCAGTTTCTCTATCTCTGTCTTCTAAAGTAAGTGCCTCAGTTTTTACTTAGCCAGGATGTCACCACGGAGATAAAGGACAGGCACCCATACATATATAACTTCTTTCTCTAACTTTTTTTCAGAATAGATCTACAAAAACATTTTTGTCACTGATTTGCTTTCCATTTATTTTCCATTCTTTGTCTTGAGCCGAACCCAGTCTAAAAGGTTTATTGGCAAGCAACTCTTCAAGTAATATAAATAATCACCAGGGACATCCTGTCTTTTTGGCTTTAGCAGGAAGAGCTGTGGCAGTTTAATACTTGTTCAGTTTTGATTAGAGGGAAAGAATGACTGCTGTTTGCTGTTGATTGTGTCAAAATGATTTTAGTTCATATAACCTTAACTGAGGCCAAATGAATAACCAACAAGGAACAAAATGTGAATGGGTAAAAGCTGTGCCTGATTATGCAGTGTTAAGGAATTTGGGTGTTTGACAAGAGCAATTAAATTACAGTCAACAAGGCTGCTTTTGAAGCATTCATATCCTCCAAACTTTACAACCTCCTTTTCTCTTTTCAGTTCAAAATGGCAAGGAGTGTCTCTGGAAGCTTCTGGATGTGCAATTGGCCAATTTGGGATACATCAACCTCTGCCTTGAAAGACAATCTAGTCCTCTTGGTTGCACAAACATTGTGCTTCCCCCCCCCCCCCCAAAAAAAAGCACTGACCAATATAACATACAACACATAAAAATGGTACAAAAGAATAAAACAAGTCACATAAAATTATAATAACAACCCCTGTAAACACAGATAGCATAAAATCAAAATAATATAATTTTAAAACAACAGTAGATAAAACTAATTATCGTCAATTCACAAGGTGCCAAGTATCAGCTTCATATGGGTCCATTTTGCCTACTCAGGGTCAAAGACCTGTCTAAACATCCATGTTTTCGGGTTGGAATGCAAGGATTGAAGGGAAGGGACTAATATAATCTCTTCTCGGAGGCTTTTCCAGAGCCTGGGGGCCACCACAGAGAAGGCCCTCTCTCTTGTCCTCACCAACTGTGCTTGGGACGAGAAAAGAGCCTCCCCTGTGAATCTCAGAACCCGTGCTGGTTTATAGAAAGAGATGCAGTCATGAAGTTTGGCAAACAAGCCTTGGAGCTAGACCATAACGTTTGGTGAGTGTCCATATTGGGCAATGCTATGTGCATCCCACTGCCAGTCTGCCTTCCTTCCCTGTGATTCCATCATCTCTAGCTGTGGTTAGTTGTAGAGTTAACTGCCACTGGAACTATGTCTGTATTTATCCATTATTACTCCACAGCAGACTGGCAGACAAAGTGTTCTTACCCCTTATAACTGTGTGGTGTGGTAGAAACATGGAAGGCCAATACAGGCCCCCTGATGAAAGTATGACCCTGCAGAGGCAAAGCTGCAGAATATTTAAGAACATCTTGTTTTCTATACTATCACCATGGTTGAGTGATGTGAGCTGGGTTGAAATCACTGCATTGTATGACAGTGTAGATGGGGCTTCAGCCATGGTCACCCTCAGAAGAAAACAAAGGCAAACCCACTCTGAACAAATACTGTCAAGAAAACCCAGTGATAGGTTCACCTTATGGTTGCCATACACCAGAAACAATTTGAAGGCACACAGTGACAACAAAAACACACATATATTTTGGTTTCTTTGGCATACAATTATAATTTTAGTATCAATAATTTGCAAAGTTGTAGGTATATCATTCTTTTCTCTCTCTCTTTTTAAAAATCAAAAGGCTGTGACTATATACACCCTTAAAATATTATATTTGTTTAATAAAAAAGCTAAATAATTACAGCACAAGCATGGCTGGGATGTATTTCTTTTTTTTCCAACTGAAGAAAAAATGTTTTGAATTCTTGAAAAGAGCCGAGTAACTGAGGAGGCAGTAGGAAAAAGAATAGAACAGATTCTGGGTGTTTTTTAAAGTGAATTATGAGCCAAAAGATAACTCTTCCTCTCTCTGTTTCTGATGTCTCTTTTGTCACAGAGAAGAGTGGGACTGCTGGAAAAGATAACAAAAGAACACGAGCGATATAAGTGCAACATCGACCAGTTTCATTTGTGGCTGACCCAGGTGACAGAAAGATTAAACGGCTGCCTTGGCCAAGAAGCAAAATTGCCAGCAGAAAATAGAATTAAGGCTTTGCAGGTACTTGCTTGTTATTTGTTACTGAGAGCAGGAGGCTTTGTTGAAAAAGCTTTGCTTATCTTTCGCATTCCACACAAAGGCACATCTGTGTATGCTCTAAAAAAACAAATAGGTATAATATGAAAGCCACAAGTTGTGCGCAGTTCATGAATATCCAAGAGTTGGGACATTTGCAAATAGACCATTGGACAGATAGGATGATTTCTGCCTCCAGACAAAGATCACCTTCCTCTCCTATAATGCATGCACCAAATTTTCCCTGTCTGTAATGCAAAATGCTCAGTTCATGTGCCATGCATGCATATCTTACATAAGTAGTTCCTGGAATTTTCTAAAAGGAAGTGTGCATTGTGCATTGGGTTTCACCCAATTATACCAGGTATGGACAAACTTCAGCCCTCCGGGTATTTTGGACTCCAACTCTCATAATTATTAACAGTGCACCAGCTTTTATTATGGAAGTTGAAGTGCAAAACACTTGAATGACCGAAAGTTTGACCATGCCTGATATATACTCTATTTCAGTGGTTCTCAACCTGGAGTCCCCAGATGTTTTTGGCCTTCAACTCCCAGAAATCCTAACAGCTTGTAAACTGGCTAGGATTTCTGGGAGTTGTAGTCCAAAAACATCTGGGGACCCCAGGTTGAGAACCACTGCTCTATTTGAACATAGATGTGCTCCACTGTCAAAGAGAAAGTTGGGTAGATTAGCATAGAAAAAGGCACATGATTTCTCCGTTTGCCTTCAGGAACATTTTTTTCTTATCCCGCTATGTCCAGCACTGCACAGAAATATCATTTTTTGTAGAAAATGCTGTTACCTGTGCAGAAAAATGCAGAAAAATGCCCCTATGGATACCTAAGTCTGTGGATGCTCACACTGTGGTCTTTTTTTTTAAGGAGTTGCGGATTCAAACTGAAGGTCGGCAGTTCGAATCCATAAGATGGGGTAAGCTCCCATCTTTCAGCTCCATCTTCTTCTGTGGGGACATGAGAGAAGCCTCCCACAGGATGGTAAAACATCTGGGCATCCCCTGGGCAACATCCTTGCAGACAGCCAATTCCCTCACACTAGAAATGACTTGCAGTTTCTCAAGTCACTTCTGACATACCAAAAGAAGTGGTCTTGAAAATTGTATTAGTCGTGAATATTTTCTAGCAGCAGTAAAAACGTTAGTCATTGCTTACCTTGAAAACAATAATGAACAAAGAGTTACACCCCTAAGAAAAAGTTCTAGGAGATTCTGCAGGACTAGAAACCCATTCATGCTGGATCTCTTCCTCTTGTAGGATATTGCCAAAGATGTGAAGAGTGGGGAAAAGAAACTGAGGAGTCTTGAAGCTCAGTCTGTTGGTGTGATGCAAAACACCTCCCCACTGGGAGCAGAGAAGATGAAGACTGAGCTGGAAGATCTGAAAAAAGCCCTCGAAAAGCTGAAAGTGGTGGGTACTGAAGAAGAGGAGAGGTTGCTGAAAAGCCTTAAGTCGGAAAATGCCTATCACGCACAAGCCAGGTTACTGGAAGCTGAAGTTCAGGAGTTTCGTAAAAGCCTGCAGAGGCTGGGAAACACCTTTGAACCAAATGATGGCACAAGAAGTGAAGATGACTTAATTGCTCTCTGGAGAAAATATATGGTAAGTGTTTCTAGGACAGTAACAGATGGAGAGCAAAGAAAGGTGGTTAGATGTGGACAATCAGTAACGATGTGCTGTGATGACTAGACATTTAAATCATCTGGTCCTCTGATGTTCTCGTGAAAACAAAGTGGAAGCATGTGGATCTAACAGCAAAGCTTTTACTCTTGAGGAGCTGGGTGTTTGCTGACTTATGGCTCAATGTAGCATTTCAGGCTGTCAAGGGATGTTATCTAATTGAGTTTAGTTTGGATAAAACCCCCAAAATAAAACCAAAATTTACACCATCAGAGTCCTCTAAGGCTACACTGCTAGTTTCAGAATTCTGTCTAGGTTTCAGTGTTTTGGAGTTATAATAGAGACAAATACACACACACACACACACACACAGAGAGAGAGAGAGAGAGAGAGAGATTTTATTGATATACAGATGTTTTATAGGTATCAAAATATAACAGGGTGAAGTTATGAAATCAAGATCCCAGTCCGATTTGCCCTTTCCTATGCTGCTCCATCCCTTTAACCTCAGTGATTCTCAACCTGTGGGTCCCCTGATGTTTTGGCCTTCAACTCCCCGAAATCCTAACAGCTGGTAAACTGGCTGGGATTTCTGGGAGTTGTAGGCCAAAACACCTGGGGACCCATGGGTTGAGAACTACTGCCGTACCTTCTCACACACACACACACACACACACGTCATTTTGTGGCCACTTAAAATTGGCTGTTCTTGTGCTTTTCTCAATAGGCTGGTGTAACAAAATTAGCTGCTGACCATAGGTTAAATATATCAATGACCGATGTTTCTGGTAGATATGACTGCCACCATCTCAGCTTTTATTGGTCTGAGGAACCAAAAGGTGTGAATGTGTTGTAGGTAAGGTGTGTTTGCCCTTAGTTCTTCTATTGCTTCTTCGCTGGCTGACTGGACTTTAAAGAGATTTCTATTATTGACTGGACTTAGTTCTGAGGAGATTGACAGACTGAAGCTGACACCAGTTAAAAGTGAACTAGAATAGGTTTATTGAACTTTAAGCAAATATCTACTCATAGAATGAGCGGTACAGAAGCGTAATTCAGTTGTAGAGACTTAGTTGGGTTAAACAGTTAGTTCTTCTGACAATAAAGCTTTTAAAACTGTGAGCTGCCTTAAACACACTGTTCTATTCTGAGAAACAGTATCACTTGGAGAACAGACTCCTATCTGTCTCACACACAGGGCAATAAGCTCTCTTAAACTTCTCCTAAGTCTAAGAAGACAAAACTCTCTTTTACTGGTCCTCTCAACACAGTAAAACCCTAGTCCTTGTCTGCTACTTATCCCCTATCCTTAAGGCTCACTTTAAAGCTTTCTTTCCCTGTCAGACTCCTATTTAGCTTCCTCTCCTAAAAATCCCTTCCTTCTGTGTCTGATGTCAAGACACTTCTTCCCCCTGTCAAAAGCTGACAGCCTCTTTCCCTCTCTCAACCAACTCCTCCCCTCATTACTCTGACCAATCAGGAGTCGGCTTGACTCCTCTTCCTGCTTCTGCCTGCCTTTCAAGATGACAGCTACTGATACTCAGGCTTCGGCCTGGTCGCCTTAAAGGTAGATTCCACTACATCTGGTCTTGTGCTTTTCCAGTTCCTTTGATATTTTTTCTTAGATATTTGAACTGATCAGATCATTTATTGGCTTGCTATTCAGTCGATTCTTACAGCTATATATCTATGTGTGTACGTGCTTTAAATGAGTCTTTGATGTGTTTTTAGTTTTCTGTTGCCCTTACATTTTTAAGTACAGTTTGTTTTCTTTTTGATGTGTTTTTATGTTTGTTGCTTTCTGTACTTTTATTTATAAGCCACCTTGAATTTGATTTTTATCGTAGAAGAATGGGCTATAAATGCCTAGATAAGATAAAAATGTCAGAAATTAAAACCAGAATTCCCCACTACTCAAGGAATTGGGACAGCTCATAATAGTACTATGCAAAAACACATATATTTGATTAAATAAAGTTCATATCATATACTGGTCATATAATTTGAATTAGCAGGTCCTATTGTACAGTAATTTGCAAGAAGTAAATTGCCTTTCTCAATTGTAGCATGAAATCCAGAGAGAAAAATAGGTGAGCAAACAGAGGTATAGGCAGACATATATGCAGACACAACACGATAATTGTTTAAATAAATATATGCATATATATTTAATGATACTCTTTTTATGTTTAAGGCAACAAGAGGAGCCCTTACAGCAGAGGAAGCAAAGGCAGAAAGAATGAAGACACAGCTTAAGGAGTTGTTCAAGTTTTCACAAGACCTGCAACCTCTTTCTGACAGTGTGATTCGTGCAATATGTGAATATCAAAGGTATTTCACTGTTAGGGAGGGGCAGCAGTTCAAAATAAACTGTGTCAGGGGATTAGATGGCTCTGGTAATATGGAAACAGTGCACTGAGCAGACTGATTGAGACCAAGCTGCTAGCCTGAAAAACAACAGGTCCATGAAGTAGAAATAAATGTTTTAAGATGATTAACATCTTGCAGCTGTAAAGGGTCCCTTAAAACAAGGACAGGGGATGTTTGGCCCTTCAAATGCTTTGACTACAGCTCCCACCATTCCTTGGTGCTTTCCATATTTGTGCTTCTGGGAGATGAAACACAGTAGAACATGCATTAGGGGAGTAGGTCCTTGCAAAAGTAGAAAAAGCACAATTCTTGAAAAATATCTAGATTCTCTAGCACAAGCCTATGTCATCTGCCAAAAACTGGTCATATAATCTTCCTGGAGGACTTGGTGGTTCCGGGAGCAAGCTTCCCTAGGAATCTCTAGGGGCCTTTCCAGATCTGATCCCAGGTTTTCTGCTTTAAACTGGATTATATGAGTCAGCACTGCTGAGTAATCTGGGATAATCCTGGGATGTAGAGCCTGTTTGGAAGGGCCCTAGGTCATTTAGTGCAATTCTGCAGCAACCTAGGCCCCTTCCACGCAGCTGAATAAAATCCTACATTTTCTGCTTTGAAGTGGAATATATGGCAGTGTGGATTCAGACATCCCAGTTCAAAGCAGATATTGTGGGATTTTCTGCCTTGATATTCTGGGTTATATGGCTGTGTCAAAGGGTCCCTAGAGATTCCTAGAGAGAGAAAAATAATCAAATCCACAAAATTTCAACTCACAGATAGGGAGGACCAATTGAATAATGTATTTGGAAGAGCAAAGATTTCCCACTCTGCCTTAAGTGACATAATAGAAGAGCTGGGATATAGTAATTCTTTATATACTGATTAATTGTATTCATACCCTGACTTTTCCACACAGAGTTCAAAATAATTTAGTATGGTTTCCTTTCTCCCCTCCCAAATTTTCACTTACTCAGATGTTACACACATGCTCACAAAAGTTAGTGGCCAAAAGATACTGATTGAGTCAATACGATTCATGGCTGAATGACCATTAGGATCTCCACAGTTCTAAACTAGTGTTCTGATCCAATGGTGCAGCACCTTAAAGAGCTCAAGGTATTCAATTTCAGAGAAGTTCAGGGAAGAAGACTGCATTCTAGAGATGGGCAGGGCCAAAGATAAAAGGATAGGAACAGTGGCATTTGGTGACTCCCCCCCCCCCCCGCCCCAATGCTAATATGGTGGTGAATCTGGTCCTGGTTTTAGTTGGAGTAGCACCTAATGAGCAATAGGCTTCAGTACTTTGGATAGCTCCTTTAGCATTCAGATTGCATTCCAGAGCAGAATAAACTGCCTCACCAATAAGGAATCTTGTCAAGCACCAACTGGGTAGAATCAACAAATATTAATGTATTTTATCTTAAAGCTGTTAATGCCCATCATTAAGATTTGCGGGATGGGAATTTCAGCTTTTTTAGAAGGGAAGCATCCTGTACAAAAAGATGGGAAAGCTCCCAATGATGATGTCCTGGGGAACTGGCATGACACTTTGGAGAAATCTCAGGAAGCCAGACAGAGACTCCTGGAAGATTTCCCAGCACTCATTTGGCTGCAGTTTGCCCTATTACATTTGTGCTGTGCCATCTCCTGCCAGTTGCGTAGCTTTTCTTGGACAGCGCTGACCTTTTATGTTTGCCTTTCTAAAAACATTTTATTATTTGTTGCTAGGTTTTATTTTTACCCATAGAGCAATGTCTTAGGCTTGTAATAATGAATTACTACTTGCCTGCACATGATTTGTTTTTGAGTTGTTTTGGCTAGTTACGTTCCCTTCACAGTTTTCCTGTTAGGTCTGCCCTCCCTCCCTCCTGTTTCCTGCTTATATGCAGCCAAGATAGACAGGAGTTGCAGCCTACCAATTTTTCTCCCCTCCCTTCCCCTGGTGAGGTTTGGCAAAAGAATTCCACTTCCAGGCTAACTGGAATCAGGAAGTGAGCAGAACAAAGAAAGAACATTTCCAGACTTAGGGAAAGGCTTGTCACATGTTGACTTCATCCGAAAAGTTGGTTTTCTTGTGTCAAGCGCAGAACCCGGTGGCAAGCTGAAAGAGGTTTGTGTTGCTAAAATGTATCATTTATAGCAGAACTGGCTGTTCAGATTTTCAGAAGCAAGTCTGGGATCCTTTCCAATGTAGAGTAGCAACTAATGGAAATATTGAACATGTGCTGGAGTAAATGTGATAAATTGATGCCAAATTGTTTTCCCCAGAAGCCTTGTTTGTTTATAGGAGAGGGTGATAAGCATGTGGCACTTCATGGCAACAGAAGAAACAGCAAAAATAGGAATCTTGGGGCCTTCGTTCCACCCAAAATACTTCAATCACAAATTTTCCTGATTTTATAACTGTCAAAATGCGAATTCTGTCATTTCTGTCAGAGAACACTGAAAGGAGACATGATAACCATGTATAAATATGTGAGAAGATGCCATAGGGAGGAGGGAGTAGGCTTGTTTTCTGCTGCCATGGAGACTAGGACATGGAGCAATGGCTTCAAATTGCAGGAAAGGAGAGTCCATCTGAACATTAGGAAGAACTTCCTAATGGTGAGAGCCATTCAGCAGTGGAACCTTCTGCCCAAGAATGTGGTGGAGGCTCTTTCTTTGGAGGCTTTTAAGCAGAGGCTGGATGGCCATCTGTCAGGGCTGCTTTGAATGCAATTTTCCTGTTTCTTGGCAGGGGGTTGGACAGGGTGGCCCATGAGGTCTCTTCCAACTCTATGATTTTATGAGTCTTGTTGAGTAAGAATATATTTTCTCTAGTATCTTTTCTGACTATCTAGAAATTACAAGATACCATACTTTCCATAATTTTGCAGATTAAAATGAGGACATATGTGGCTGGGTAGCATCAGAGTGTGATCAAGATAGCATAAGTTATATATGAGGAAAAATGCACCATTTAGGAGAGGCTGCAGCAGTTTCCTTTTGCTTTTCAATTTACTGGGAAATGCAAGATTCTGTCCTACCAGCTAAATTAATTGAGCGCAAGCTATTTTGTGTTTTGAATGAAATTTGCACCAACTGAAGTAAGATGAGAATAGACAGGAAAACAGAAACTGGGACATTTTAAAAGCAGCTGAAAAAAATGGGTTGACAGAGTATTAATTGGATTAACTGTCCCTGTTAAATACTTATAGTTTGAGCATATGGAATATGGCAAGCAGTATAGAAAAAGTATATAATAAATGAATAAGTATTCTGTGTTTGACAAAAACAAAACAAAACAAAAGCCAGGAAGCTATTTCTTCAAAAGTTCATTAATTTTGGCAGCTTCTTGTAACCCAGGCCTGGACAAACTTTGGTCCTCCAGGTGTTTTGGACTTCAGCTCCCATAATTCCTAACAGCTGGTAAGCTGGCTTAGTTTCACTCAGAGAGACACACACTAGACATTGATCTCTCCCCTATATAACTGTTAAAAGGAAAGGAAGCCTGATTCTTATGTTACCTGGAAATCATATATTATAACTACATGTAAGCAGATTTGGGATTGAAGTTTCTAGAAACTTGATTTCAACATTTCCATGCCTATTTTAGAATTCATTTTAAAACTTGGGATGGGGAATTTTTGTTGGTGTGAGTAAAGGTTCATATGACTAGGAAACACCTTCCCATTGCATGTAACTTAACTGTCATAAACTTTTGCCATGGGGTCAACTTCCTCTGTCTATTGATCTTATAACTGATGCTTATAGTATATGAAGTTGTTGGGAATCTCAGGGTGCATCTACACTGTAGAGTTCATGCAGTTTGACACCACTTTAACTGCCATAGCTTGATGCTATGGAATCATGGGAGTAAAAGTTTCACAAGATCTTTAGCTTTTCTTGCCAAAGAGTGCTGGTGCCTCATGAAACTATAGCTTCCAGGATTCTATAGCATTGTGGCATGAAATTTAAAGTAGTATCAATCTGCATCAATTCTGCAGTGTATATGCTGGTTATTAGCACAGTGGGTTAACTGCCAGCTGCAGAAAATTTTGTCAATTGAAAGGTTGACAGTTCAAGTCTGGGTCGGGGTGAATTCCCAGCCATCAGCCCAGCTTCTGCTCACCTAGCAGATTGAAAACGGTAATGTGAGTAGATAAATAGGTACCAATTTAAGCGGGGAGGTAATAAAAGGCACCCATGTGGACATGCTGATGATTTGATCAGGTGGTTGTGTACAGACAACAGAAGCTCCTCAGCATGGAAGATGGAGCAACAGCACCTCCCCATAGCTGGAGTCGAGCATAGCCTCCAGCTGCTGGAAGTGGAAAAAGATGAGAAAAGACTATACCTCTGTTTATGTATTGTCTGTACTTGTCATTTGTATAATGGCATTGAATATTTGCCATATATGTGTTCTGGAATCTGCCCTGAGTCCCCTCGGAGAAATAGAGCGGAATATAAATAAAGTATATTATTTTATTATATTTTTAGTGATAAGGGCAAATTTTGGTAAGTCTCCACAGCAGGTGTAATGGAAAGGAATCCTTTGACTGACAGAGACAGTGGTTGCATGGAAGAATGGAAATGAGAATATATGTGATTCAGTATTTGTGTTAAAACACTGAAAAAAAGTAGCAGGCCATTTGTCCTTCGAGTGAAGTGGAGAAGCAAGACTTACCCCACATCATAGTATTCAAATATAGTTGTGATTTTTCCTGTTTTTGCTTTTGCAGCCTGAAGGGGAAGACATACAAAATGAGTTCTGAGACTGAAACAGAGTTGAGGCAACGCTTCCAAAATCCCCTGAGGGAGTTCCAGCTGTGGAAACCATCAGTACAGAGACTACTGGACACCACTGCAAATATTTCAGATCCTTCCATGACAGAGCCATTCTTGCATCAGATTGAGGTGATAATGGATTCTATGGAAATGCTGGGAAGCCTAAAAGTTACATATATGTAGGAGTATACCTCAACCAGATTCAATTTAGAAGCACTGTATAATACCCAACGAGAAATTTTAGTCAAAAAGTTAACCCAGAAATCTGTGATGATCCATGCATTGGTCATTGTAAGTACCCAACCTTAGCTCTTCTTTAAAAAAAGGAACCACCGCATTTTCTGAATATAGAGTTTTTCTTTCTTCTATGCTGGTTCTATATTTCATTGCACATACCACTCTATTGTGGATTTTCAGATATGATTAACAGTGGCTACTCTTGGTTTGTGAGCCATGGAGAATGGGCAGAAATAGTTGAATAAGTTAGTTTTATCTACTGTTGTTTTAAAAGTGTATTGCTTTGATTTCATGCTACATGTGTTGATGGGGGTTGTTGTTATGACTTTATGTGACTTGTTTTATACTTTTGTACCATTTTTACCTGTTGTATGTGCAGCCAGGAGTGCTTTGTAAGCTTCCCAAGTCCCTTTGGGGAAATGGTGGCGAGATATAAATAATTTGTTGTTGTTGTTGTTGTTAAGTTGTAATTAAAAATTACTAAACTAAAAAATGTGTGTTTGCCCCTGTAGCAATATCTGGCTGAATGTTCCCACTTTAAGGAGAAACTCCTGATGTTGCAGTTGAAAAAAGATTTCCTGAGCAGCATTTTTGAGGAGGAGAGAGCAAAGTCACTCTTGGTGGAGGCAACTAATGCCATGAAGGAAGCAGAACACCTGCACAAAGAGCTCCTTCAGAGAAAAAGCAGATTGCAGGTGTGTAGTTTCTTAAAACTAACCATTAAGAGTCTTAGGCTGGTAAGTTTACACTTACAAAAAAAACTGTTGTAAAGGATCTGTTCTGATGCATCCTTTGGAGGCCTTTGGCCATTCACATGGGAAGCCAGACTAAAGGGATATTGGAACCACTACTGCAGCCTTGTCAATGGGCTGCTTCACCACCAGCAAGCAGTTCTCTCTTAGAAAATTGACTAGTGACATCACATTTCTGGTCTCATGGCTTGTTGCCTGGCATGACATCATCAGAAATGTAACATCACTCACAAAGATCTTGGAGAGAGTTGCTTGCTGGTGGTGAGGCATCAGTGGGTCCATTAATGGTGGGGGTGTCACATCAGGCCAGATTCAACCCTATCAGGTTCTCTACACCTTCACTCTGAAGATTTCAGAAAACTCTAAAGCAAATCCAGTATTACACTGTCGTAGGAGTACTGGCTGGATGCATCAGGGTGATACAAATCCAGCCCATGTACCATATGGATTCACTACTACAACTGAGTAGTGAATCCACATTGTTTAGTCATGTAGACATGCCCTTTCTTTCTTTTTCTCCTTGGATACCAATGTTGTTGTTATTACTATTAGTACTAATAATGTTTATTTGTTATCTGCTTCTTCCCTCCTCCTTAGGTGGGGTACAACATAGTTAAAACACATAGATAAAACACAAAACCATTGAAATCCACAGAACATAGATGACAATGTCAATGCTAATAAAATTTAAATTTCAAAATTGTAGTTTAAAATTGATTGGATAGGCCTATCAGAAAATATAGGTCTTTACTTGTGCCTAACATTTTGAAAGGACGTAGAGTGCTAGGTTGTGAGTTTAGCAGAGAAACACAATGATATAAATGGGATTGTCATGGAATGTAGTTTCTCTTTGCAGTACTTCTCTTTTGCATGCAATGTCTCCCTTTTTTCTTTTTGCTAGGCTTTAGTATCTCAGCATAAAGACTTTGGGGCAATCTTTGAGCAGTTGCAAAAGAGGTTGTCAGTTCTCAGAGCCAAATTAGATGCAGAGAAGGAACCTTTGACTGATCTGACAGCCAAAGAAGCTCGACTACAAAGGCTACAGGTAAGTGGCTGCCATCCACACGTAGCAGAATTCCATTTCAGCTGTATCTTCAGTAAAAAGACTTGCAAATCTTCTTACCTTCAAAGCTATAGGATGTGTGCTTTGAAATTGGCCAAACACAGAGGTTCTTTTTAAATAATTCAAAACTTTAAAAATTGTGCAAACAATACAGGTTTTTATACAAAACACATTTTTCAGGATAATAATTCTACAATGTGGAAAATATTTTAAAATGCACAAAGCTCTTACCACATCAAGCAAGTGAAAATCTTTGAAATTATTTGTTCTGGCATACAAGAGTGGAATAAGTAAAGATTTACACCCTAGTCTACACAAGATAAATGATAATCATACCTATACAAAGGGTTACTGTTATTCATGTGTCACTGATGCCATTCATTGATGTGTTTGGTGGTTTTGAGAGTGACATGGCTGAGAAACCCATGACAGTGTAATGACTGAACCAGAGCTTGGACAACTTAGTTGATTTACTGTGATCCCCAGAATTTTCCAGACAACATTACTGTTGCCAAGAGATTCTCAGTGCTATAATAAAACAAGTAATTTTTCAAACTCTGTGTGGGACCCAGAGGAGTGAGATTAGGTGCAATATTCTCTACCTCAGCATGAAATAATACAGACTTTCATCTAAGGATCAGCTAGTAGAAAACTACAAAGACTTTTATGGGAGAACAATTGTTAGTTGGAGTAGACAGTGCTAGATTACATAGACAAATAGTCTGACCTGGGGTGTATCAGCTCTCTTTAACTATACCACTTTGATACCACTCTAACTTCCTTGTCTCCATCCGATTGGATCTTAGCATTTGTAGTTTCATGAACTACTTAGAATTTTCCACTAAATAAATGTGGAAGGGGGACTTGTGGGGCATTGGACTGGGATTCATTCTTATACATGTTAGTTTTAATTGCAGCCTATGTATTAATTAGGTTCTATTTGTTTAAAAGTGGTTGTTAGAAATAATATCACATGAAAGCTGACTGGCATAACCTGGGGATCACAGCCAGGCACAGTGAAGACATCCCCGCCTTCTACTTTGCTACTCTGCTGCTGAGTACGCATGCCCAGTGTGGAACACATTTCACCATGTTAAAACAGTGGATGTGGCTCTTAGTGAGACATGCCACATTATCACAGGATAATGCCCCACCTGACATCAATCGGGAAGTAGCAGCCAATAATGAAAGGACCAAGAAAGTGACATCTATGGCCCATCCTCTGTTCGGATATCAGCCAGCATGCCAATGCCTTAAATAAAGAAATAGCTTTCTAAGATCTACAGAGATACTCAGAGGAACACCTCAGCAAGTCAGAGTCCACAAGTGGCAGGCTAAAACCCAGCACCTCAATCCATGGCTAATACCAAATGAGAGATTCCCCCCTGGGTACACAGAAGACTGGGTGAATTGGAAGGTCCTGAACAAACTGCGTTCTGGCACCACGAAATGCAGAGTCAACCTTAAGAAATGGGGCCACAAAGTGGAGTCCACGACATGCGAGTGTGGAAAAAAGCAAACCACAGACCACCTGCTGCAATGCAGTCCGAACCCTGCCACATGCACAATGGAAATCTCTAACAACAGAAGCACTCCAAGTGGCCAGCTACTGAACAAAAGGCATTTAGTATAATGCCAAGTCTTTTAACTTTGTGCCTTTAAATACATTACAACTGTACCCTCAATTCGCTTCTGACATGATAAATAAATCAATAGCCTAAGTAATACAACAGTAGGCTCTCCTTAAGTTCCGTATAACTTGGGAAGAACTTGTTATCAAGCACTGATCACATTATTGAAGCTTAGTTGCAAAGCTCACTTAAAGTTTCTCTTAGAATTTTGGGAGGCTTCTATATTATTAGAATTTTTAATCCTGTTAAATAACAGTGTATACATTTTTTTTGGGGGGGGGAGCAGAAGAATACATTATAACTGTACCCTCAATTTGCTTCTGACACAAAGAAAATAAATGTTTGCTTAAATTTTATATATTTATCTTGATTTTGTTTAGGCTGGTTTGGATACCATTCTTTAATAGAAAGGGAGAACATAACATCTGTTATGGTATTGCAGTATTTTTATTTTTATTAATATGATAGTATATACATTAAGTAAAATAAATATATAAGGAAAATAAATGGAATTCCTTCTTCAGATTCTCCATGGAGATGTGGCAGAGTGTGGTGCTCAAATGGATGAACTGGAGAAACTTGTTCAGCTAGACCCAACACAGAAGCATAAAATTAAGCTGCTTTCTTCTGAACATCACCTTCTGAAGAGATCTCTGGAGGTAACTCAGACTTAGTTTAAGATGTCCGAAAGGCATGATGTTTTCCTATTTATTTGTTTAAGAACTTATTTTGGGCCTAAATGTCCTAAGGGTACCAGATTTCATCTGATTTTGGAAGCTGAGCAGAGTCAGCTCTGGTTAGTACTTGGACAGTAATGGATCTGTTTACAGGAATAAAACAGAAGGAATTATTCATTACAACAATGTTTTCTTTTTGTCTTTTCTTGGCTGCATCCAGTTTCACCAGAAAAGAGAACCTCTCACTTGCATAGAGTAGTTCCATTTATAGAGCACCACCATGTGGGCAGACTTTGGTACACAAGCTTTTGAGAAATTTTGTGTTACTAAACTCTTTAAGAAGATTCCAGGTTACTGTTAAATGTTTATTCAAATGTTAGTTTGGGTTATTTTTCAAATACAGTTTTTTTTAAGAAGAGAAGTATTTTAAAGAGAAGATTGAGAAGGGACATGTGAACTCTGTAAATAGCTCAAGGGATGCCAAAAAGAGGAGGATGTAGGCGTGTTCTATGCTGCCTCAGAGAGTAGAACGAAGAGTGCATCCACACTATAGATTCAATACAGTTTGACACCACTTTAAATGCAATGACTCAATACAAGCAACCATGGGAGTTGTATTATTACAAGGTCTTTGGCCTTCTCTTCCAAAAAGTGCTACTGCCTTATGAAACAACAGTTTCCATGGTTCTATAGTATTGAGCCATAGCAATTAAAATGTCAAAGGGCATTAATTCTACAGTGTAGATGCACCCTAGGTCTAATGGTTTGAAGTTACAGGAAAGTTGATTGAATGTTAGAACTTATTGACAAAGAGAGTGGTTTGGCAATGAAACCAACTGCCCTTGAGAGGTTGTGGGATCTCTTTTTCTGGACATCTTCCAAAGGAAGCTGCAGATGCTCTATTTATGGATCTTTTAGCCCTGAGGAAGTTTCCTTTATTGTTTACTTCTGTCAATGATATACATCTTTCCCTGATTCTATTTTCAGACCATCACAGCACAGAGTAAGCAGCATGTCCAAGACCACTGGACCTTCAATAATAAATCAACAGATCTCTGGCAGTGGCTCACAGTAACCAAACAAAAACTGGACTCTTGTTGGGGTGCTAATGATGGGTGGAAAACTAATAGCCGAGTTTGGGATTTGGAGGTGAGGAAGATTGCTTCTCTTGGGATGTCAATGACAATGAATAGATCCTTGAAAGTCATTAGCTTGCCTTAAGTTGACACACATACACACACACAGAGAGAATGAGAACAGATACAGAGAATCTCCAAAATTATTGTGTGACAACTATTGTAAGGTTAATATATTTCAATGGTTGTAAAATTCTCCTTGAATCACAGTGAAATAGACTGAATACACATTACAAATACACATATATACAAAGGAAATAGCCTGAAAAAGCATTTTCTATTGGCTTTGGACTTTGTAAAGTCAGAAGCTTTCAAGTCACTCAATTCTTCTTGTAGATTCAGTGGTGACAGCATAGGCCTTGTATTTTTACAAAGTAATTAGCCTTCTCTGCTGAAGAGTGCTTGTACCTTGCCAAACTATAAATCCCAGGTTCCCATTGTGTTGAGCCATAGCAATTAAAATAGTGTCAAACTGCATTAATTCTACAGGGTAGATCCATTATTGGTCTCTGTAGATCACCCACTTCAGATAGTGATTTTGAATGGAAACAGTCATGAATCTGTGCACAGTTTGCAGAAATCGTAACAGCCTCATATTTGTTCATCCTCTCCTTTAAAGAGACTTCAAATGGAGTTTCCAGATAGAGAGAACCAACTGCAATTTATTGAGGCCAAAGGAGAACTGGTTGCAGCAAACTCTTCTTCAGAAGGGGCTGAAAATGTTGAAAAAGAATTGAAGAAGCTATTGGAATCCTTTGAGTCTCTTGAAGACATGATGACAAGGTAAGAGGTTACATAGCCTCATATCCCATTTTTAATCTGCATCAGAAGGCAGATGAAGGAGAAGAGGAGAAACTTGTTCAGAATAACCTTCTGCATTGCTGTCACCAAGGGTTTGGAAACAGCAATAGCTGGAGATACCTATATCAATTGGTCCTTGATTTTATTCCAAACTCTTCTTCCCACCACCAGGACAGAAAGAAATAAAATCAGTTTTTAAATAATTAGAATTGCTTAATAATCCTACTAATATTTACATATACATTTTTATTTTGTGATATAAAGACAAAACATCATAATGAATGATAGAAACAAATTATTCTCCAAAAAGGAACTTCCCATGCTGCCTTTCTTCTTATTCCCCCAAAATCTTGGAAGGTATATGGTAGTTTTTCCAATGTATGGCTTGACACTCCTACTGTGTACTTTCACTTGGTGATATATCTTGAGTATAAAGAGCAGCAATTGCAAGTTCCTATTAAAAATAATTGCTCCAAGTGAACTATACAATTAGACATTTTGTATTTTCAGTGTGGCAAACTGTCTTCGTCCTTCATTTTTTCCTGATCAGAGATTGATTTTCATCCTCACAGACCAAAGTCAACTCTTCCTTGTTTTTTCCCATTTCACCTTCAAGTTTTTTTTCCATATGGTTTTTTCTAATGCTTTTTCTTTTTGCTGCATCTGCCACTGGGGAAAAAGAAGTTGAATAATATCTAATCCCTGTAGGGTTCTGAGAATTAGATAGTTTGCCTTCTTTCCTCTGTTTGTAACTTTCCTGGAAATGTGCTTCTTGCCCAGACTTTTCCTTTTCTGAACTAACTAGTTTTTTCACAAGTGAAAGGGTGAAGTGCGAGAGATATCCTCACTTTCTGAGCTTGTCAGGTTTCCTCATCAGTGGAAAAACCAGCTGTGAGTTGCAGCCATTTCCTAATCACTGCTACAAACTCTCTGTTAGAACAATCCCACTGAAAGTAACAATCTATTAAAAAGGTTCTTAAATGGCAAGACCATCACCAGGGAAAATCTACTGGCAGGAACTTGTCACAGTATCTTTTACAGCCATATCTGTCCCATGATACTGCTGAACTGGCATTACAGAGTATGACTTAAAATATGGTACTTCAGTGGCTTGCAAAACACAAAGGAGGCTCGTTGGGTACAACACAGCTTAGTTAGTAATCCTGGAAGAGCAATAGAATTTGTCTCTCCTGGTTTCACTTATGTTTGAAACTCCAAAGTGGCACCAGGATCCTAAATTGGTTTGTACAATGCCTGTTAGGTGTGTACCTTCTGTAATAATAGGAGTTGAGGAGGATCATAAGGAGAAATAATACCAGCTTCTATAATATTGAATTCAGAATGATATAGTCATCATTTTGGTTATCAGGATGTGTTTCCATCAATCTTAAGTGGGTTCCTTCCATTGGAAATGTTTTTCTTCCATTGATTTTGGTTCTATCCTTACTGTAGGTTTTTGTTTTGTTTTGTTAATATCTATTCTTACCAAAGAATAAAAAGCACCAATGTATAGTATTTACAAATGTTGTACACACTAACTTAACCAACCTAAAATTTATCTTATCCTCTAATTTTGGTCATCTTAGGTTAACACAGAAAATCCATCCAAACAGGACAGCAACAGATGTGCGCAAGAAGACAACATTCTCCAACAACACACCAGCTCAAGGCTTTTTCATTCACTCTACAGATGGTCCCAACCAGTACTGGGTGAGAAAAGCATTTGAGTTATGCTTTTGCTGTAACTTACACTTGTAACTTACTCCTGGTGAAGAACTTGAGATCTAAAAGATGTTGTGATGGTTATGGATGCATGCCTTCAAGTCGTTTCCAACCTAAGGTGATCCTATCACAGTGTTTAATTGGCATGATATATTTAAAAAAGGTTTGCCATTGCCTTCATCTGAGGCTGAAAGGCTGTGATTTGCCCAGTGTTTTTCATAGACAAGTGGGGATTGGAACCCTAGTCTGCAGAGTCATAGTCCAGTGCTCAAACCACCACATCACTCTGGCATCATAAAATCATAGAGTGGAAGAGACCTTGTGCGCCATCCAGTCCAATCCACTGCCAAGAAGCATCCCTGAAAGATATATGGGAACAGAAAATATTTTTATTCCTTCTAGAATGTATCATCCGTCATAAAGGGAAAAAAGCAATATTTGTTCAATGGGATAGGGAAACAACTTGAAGCTCTCCAGATTTTGCAGTGCACTTTCCCACTTGGCTTAGGGCGATGAGATTTATAGTTCCATTTGAATCACCACTATTTTCTCACCCTTCTTCTATGACTGGGTCTGTTGCTATTGGGGACTATGCTACTGCATTATTCCCCTGCCCACCAAAGACCTTGTTAGGCTGGACCTTTCACGTAGAGAAAAAAAATCATTTTTGTACCAACCCAACCAAATTCTCTGGAGCATGTAGGATATTTTAAACATGCTTTGAGCCTCCCCTAGGAGTTGTTGGTATTTTTTTTACAACAGGAAGTGATCCCAGAACTCATTTTAGGGGGGGGGGTCCTTACGTTACAATCTTTAGCTCTTTCAGGGACTTCTGCTGGAAGTTAACCATAGAGTTCCACCAGAGAAGCTAGGGAATCCTTAAAAGGGCATTTTAAACCTGCAGATGTGGGGAGCTGGCTATGTGTAATGCATTTTCTCTAACCCCTCCAGCAAAACTCTATGGTCAACATCCAACAGAAGTAAATCATAGAGTGGTACTGGAGGATGTAAAGATCCTTAGAGATAATATATTTATCAAATCTGCAAAAGTTAAATCTGCCGATGGGGGAGGGACTGCACAGAGAAGCCAAAAAAAGTGTGGTCAGTGCAGTTCAGGGTCTGACCATGAGAAGTAACGAAAGAAAAATGCAAATCCAAGCCGAAAATCCAAAAGAAAACAGCCCAGGTAGCAAGCCAAAGGTCAGGAAATGCAAAACAATGCCAAATAGTGATAGTGAACCTGTTGTCTTGTAGCAAAGAGATAACTTTAGATGTGCTTTTTTAGCTAGCTGGATTTCAACACAGCCTAGCTTTTTCAGCATTTTCTTTGTAAAGCACATCAAGGCAAGTTCTGCTGTTTTGTTGCTATTGCATTAGACTCCGTCATTCAGAATCCAGGGTCTATTTTCAAGTCAGGATGACCAGTCTCCTCTGGCTCCAAGGCCTGTAACTCTGACTGTAACTTTATTATCTAGGCTGTCTTTTACTTTTCCTCATTGGAGGCAATCTCCTCCAGAACTTGAAGTTGCTAACTCCTTTTGCACTACAGATCCCAGAATCCCTCCCCCAGCAATGAATTTTGGAGAGTTGTTGTGGCCATGCTGATTAGAAGATTCTGGGCATTGTAGTTGAAAAAAATATCCCTACTTTACTTGTATATAGTGAAGTCATTCTACAAAAAGCAAGTGTAGGAGCTGACACCTATTTTGAAACAACTTTGTCTGATGAGGAAGTTTTGCCCTCCTTTCCCAGACATACTGGGAAAAGCAACGTCTGCTCAATAGGAGTGAGGATATGCTCAATAGGAGTGAGGTTATACTCTGCAGACAGTAATAGACACATTCCATTTTATTACAATTATTATGCAAGTTGTAGAATTGACCCTTGACATTGAGATGCTGGGTTTCAACCTTGGTGATCCCTGACTTAAATTAAATCCTGATTTTGTAGCAGATCTTTTCCCCCTTCTTTCTTCATAAAGGCCACACTGCTTGTGCCGGGGCCCCTTTTTAATTCTGAGTGCATTTTCCGCAGTTTACAACTCTTCATTCGACTATCAAAAATTTTAATAGGAAACACGGGGCCATATTCACAGCAAGTGTGGGTTGTAATGCTGAAATTTGACCAAATAGCAAATATCTTGGAAGTGAAGCCTGCTTTCAGCTCTGAATTTTTTTAAACTCTGAACATTCTGTCCATTCAAGATTCTTCAAGCACTTCCTAGCATCTCTCCTAAAAGGAACTGGGCTAGAGAGTCATTCTTTTCAGGACAAATGAAAAAACTTTACCAAATGTGACTCAGTTAATACAATTTTCATGTATTTTGAAACAAATTCATGAACAATCACAAAGACACTGTTAGATTCTGATTTTGATACCCTGTTGGCATCCATTTATCACTTGTTATAGCCCATAACTTAAGTTCCTCCAACAACAAGAGATAAGTGAAAAAAGGTTTCAGTTCATTTTTGGTAAGAATTTGTCCAAACATTGCAAAATTCTTCATATTTAGCTCAGAGAAAATTTGAAAGTAACAAAATAGGAATGTGACAGAAAGAAAACTTGGCAGATTCATCTATCCTGGCATCAAAGTTATTTTTAAAAAATCACTTTCTTGTTGGGGTTAAATTAGCATTGACAACCCCTTTTTCTAGAAGGCTCCTTATGTTTAATATTTCTAGTAGTAGTAAGTGAATAGTGCTGAAATTCTTTCTCAAACCCAAAGGTTACCTGACGATCTCTTTTTATGGTTGTAAAGAGTGGGGTGGGGAGTAGGAGTGGAATAGACACTTTGGAGACAACAGTGTGGTGGCTTCAATTATAAAGCTACGTGGAATGCCATCACTGAATATTTTATCATGTTGAATGTTCAATTTCCTAATATTCTATCAGAGTTACCCAGGGAATTTTTGAAAAAAAAAATCTACTACAAAATTAATTATGATGTTAGTCTTTCAATCTTTTTAACTGATTGATCTTACCAATTAACCTGTGAAGCCCTAAAATAAAACTAACATTTTGTATGGTATGGTATTTGAGAAATATCATATTGTATATAATGAGCTGTCATGATCTAAGACACAGTTAAAAACTTAGCTCTGACAGGCCTACCCAGTTGATTTGAAATAATGAGTTTTAACTCTATATTTCATTAGTATTGGAATCTTTGTCCTATTTATTCAGTATATGTATTGTAATAGTATTGTGTTTTTTCTATATATTTTCATTATCTTGTACCCTACCTCAAGCTGTTAGAAGAGGCAGGTAACAAATAAAATAAAATAGCAAAAATAATATTTGAGCATGATCCTTTAAATCTCTGAAACCTTTCTCCTCTGCATCCAAAAATAAAATATCTAAAAATAAAATATGGCACATGCAGGATAAGTTGGCACAGAGTAAGTTACTCTGGTACATGCAGAGTAAGTTAAATGTTAAGTGGAGCGGGGAAAGTACATGTTCATATTTTCTTCCTCATTTATGTAATTTTGTCCCCCTTTTTTATTCTCCTTAATCCAGAAGGACTCAGCCCAAGATGAAGAGTCTAACGGCCTCCAACTCATTAAAAATTTTGAACAGTGGTTGCAAGGGGAAAATGCCAGATTGTCCAGAATTCTAGCCACGAAACCATCCAGCAGTGAAGAACTGAAAGTGAGGCACGGCAACCTAAAGGTTTGTTCCATTCCACCATTAATTAATTAACTACTGTGTAATGAAGGTATCTGCTCAAGACACTGTTCTGTCCTGTCCCATTCTGTTGTGATAAAATTCTAATTCTGTTACCAATTTATGATTTGTTTTATTGTGATTTTGTTATTTTTATTTTACTATGTTATTACTAAGTATTTTATTTGATGTTATTGTCTTCTTTGTATGTATTTTCCTCCACTGTAATTAATTTGGGCTTGGCCTCATGTCAGCCGCCCCGCGTCCCTTCGGGGAGATGGTGGAGGGGTATAAATAAAGTTTCATTTTATTATTATTTATTATAAAACAGAAATGCAAGAAGCTAATGTATCAGGACTTTTTGGAATGCCAAATGTTTAAGGTTGCACTGGTTTTTGGTTGGGATTTTTTGTGTTATTTTGTTTTTTCTAATATATCATCTGTATATAGATATAGACATAGATTCATTTTAATATCACACTTAATATTTAAATTACAAGAAACAATGGACAAATAATACATTTGAAGAAAAATATAGAAAAGACAGAGTAAATCTTCCCCATCCTTTAAAATTGTCTTCCTGCTCTTCTCTGACTGCAGGATACTTACTTTTATACAATATTCCTCTCTGATTTTATTTTAAAGTCTTAAAGATTAAGTACCTATATGTAAATGGTGGTCCACGCTCTTGTTACATCCCAAGTAGACTACGGCAATGCACTCTACGTGGGATTGCCTTTGAAAACTGTTTGGAAGCTTCAAGTGGTCCAACGGATTCCTTACTGGAGTGGCATACAGGCAACATGCAACCCGTCCTGTTATGTCAGTTCTACTAGCTGCCAATTTGCTATTGAGCACAATTCAAAGTGCTGGCTTTAGCCTATAAAGCCCTAAGCAGTTCTGGCCCAATTTACTGGTCCGAAGACATCTCCCTCTATGAACCATCTAGGAGATTAAGATCTTCTGGGGAGACCCTGCTCTCGATCCCTCCTCCTTCGCAGGTGAGCTTGGTGGACACAAGAGACAGGGCCTTCTCAATACTGTCCCCTCAGCTGTGAAACTCCCTCCCTAGTGAAATTAGATCAGTGCGCTCCCTCTTGGCCTTCAGAAAGAAAATAAAGACATGGCTGTGGGACCAAGCCTTTGGTTAGTTAGCAATGCAAGAAATGAACAGGGATTATGTGAAATTGACATTTGGAATGGCCTCGGATTATGGTTTTTGGATTATGTGATTTTAATGTTTATTTCTATGTTTTTGGACTATGATATTGGATATGTTTCTGTGATTTGACGGAGCGGATCATTAGTGTAATTTATAGTATTATTATTGTTCTGTGATTTTGTTGTTCTGCTCTTTGTAAACTGTGTTTTTATATGTTGTACACCGCCGCGAGTCGCCCTAGGGCTGAGAGCGGCGGTCAATAAATGCACCAAATAAATAATAAAATAAATAAATAAATTAACGTCTAAATATTGCTTATGGTCTAATATAGTTTTTATAGTTTAATTCATAGTTTTGGTTTTTCACATGTATGTTGGGCATTCAATGTTTCTGTGACTATGTTGGAAACCACTTTGAGTCCCCCCAGGGGGTGAGAAAAGTGGTGTATAAATACAGTAAATAAATAATTAATAAATAAAATGGTTTTTAAAATAACTGAACAATTACATCAAATTAAATTAATTTCCCCATTTGTCCGTAATATCCTCAAACACTTTTGACTATTATTAATTTAATATTGCATACAAATGAATCTATATATAAATTGACTGTAATTAATGTGATGTGCCTGATAATGGAAACCACTGATAGTTTACTAACTCTCTGCCCCGGAGTGTGGTGGAGGCTCCTTCTTTGGAAGCTTTTAAACAGAGGCTGGATGGCCATCTGTCAGGGGTGATTTGAAAGCAATATTCCTGCTTCTTGGCAGGGGGTTGGACTGGATGGCCCATGAGGTCTCTTCCAACTCTTTGATTCTATGATTCTATGAAATGTAATTGAATTGATTATTTTATTAACCATTGCTTTGCTCAGAGTGCAATCTATTGACTATTGTGCAGTTGACAGTTTGCTGCTAAACAGAGGCAGCAATCCAGAGCTCTGGGGAACTGGAGGACTTAATAAACTATTATTCTTACTGTGGTAATGATGGATGCTCTACATGTCTCTGTAATATGTATTGATCAAATCTTAATGTTGGAAGTAATTCATAAAGAGAATCTGCTCTGCCTTCCACATCCAGTCTTTCTATGACAGAAGAGTAATCATTTTCTCCCATTTTGTGCAGGAACTTCAGTCTCGAGTTCCTGAGGGACAGCATCACTTTGAAGATCTCTTGCGTCTTCAGCCCATTGTCCGGAGCTCTGAGGAACTGGAAGACTTGCGATACCGATGGATGCTCTACAAGTCTAAACTGCATGACTCATTGGTAAGTCTTGTGATCTAAAAAAAGGCTAGTAACAGAGGGATTCTTGATCTTTTCAGTGGAATCACTCTGGCTGCACGTGGATGTTGTTTGTATGCCACCCAGCAGAAACATATTAAGGAGGACTATAAATAATAAAATGCAGGGCTATACTGAGTAAGAAAATGGAGCCACCTAGTATCAGTCAGGAGCCAGTTTCAAACATTTCAAAAATATAGACCCACCCATAGTTATAAAATGATACAGGGTAAGTCTCCCTTATCTGAAATCTTCCAAAAGCCAAAACGTTTCCTTGTCCGCAGCCCACTTCTGTCTTTGGGGAAAGGGGGCTAGTCACATATCCAGTGCCCACTGAGGTTTTCTTAGAGGAAAAGAAAGAAAGAAATTGCTTTCTTTTAAATGCCTAATGATTTTGTATTGTGTATACCGAAACTGTTGTAAACTGCTCTGAGTCGCCTAAGGGCTGAGAAAAGCGATATACAAATAAAATAAATAAATAAATAAATAAATAAAACTTCCAGAGGAAAAATGGAGTTCACTCACCTGTAACCAGGCTCTTATAGAAAATGTGTGTGTGTGTATTTGTGTGTATGTATATATTCATACATATACATATACATATATGTTATTTGTGATATAATTTTAGGCAGGTACCTCCTGCAAAACTACATTTCATCAGTAGGTGTCAGTAAAATCATAGTTATTTCTGTTATTAGCATGGTTGAATTTTCCTGAAATTGTGTGTGTCGGGCGGGGTCTGTTTGGCATTTACAGTGGATGTGTGTGCCATAAAGGTCATTAAGTAACAATCACCTGCTGCTGTAGCCTGCCCAGATGACAAGAAACTTTAAAGTAACAATTCTCCTGTGAAATAAATATTGCCTTAGAGGTTCCACTGGGATTCCATGGTACATGTTTTCTAAAAGAGTTTTTTCCCCCTATATCAACAGATGACAAGTTCCTTAGAAGAGCCAATAACATTCAGAAAGGTAAGAGTGTGTTTTTATTCCTTCAAAACTGTGTGCGTGTGCGTGCGTGTGCAAACACATCCATAACACTATTATTATTATTATTATTATTATTATTATTATTATTATTATTATTATATGTATTCAGTTTGTTTCTGAGTTCTGGTGATCCTAAGACAGTCCTGACATGAGGTTTTCTTGGGCAGAGAGTGATGAGTCACCGAAGGTCACCCATAGATTTCCATGGCCAATTGGGGAATTGACGCCAAAGCTATAATCAAATGCTCAAATCACTGCACCTCACTGGCACACACATACTGCATAGACAGCGATATTCTTAGGATTCTAAAATATAGACATTGATGTCCGATCCTGAAGAAAACTTTAATGAGGAAGCCATGTCTACTATTTTAGCAAACCAAGTATGTGACCATTGCCTTGTTTTTTCTGCTCTATTTTCTGTAGAGCAAGTTCCATAACAGGAGCCTTGCTCAGTTCTAGGTCTGCTTTGAATATGCCTGTCTTAGTTAGAAGGTTATCTCACCCCAAATCAAAGAAAGGCAAAACAGATAAGGACTATCCACAGTGTTTGGGCAAGAGAGCTAAGATCAAAACAAGTAAATAGGATTCTGGCAGAGAATAAAGTATCCCAAAGGAAAGGAATCCATAGTGCAAGAACAGTCACATATGTGAAACTCAAGGCCCACGGGCCGAATCCTGCCCACCATATCATTACATGTGGCCCTCCGGATGCTGGCCTGTAACTCCTGTAACATCTGGAAGGCTGCAGTTTGTACTTTTTACTTGTGATAGTGGGGTTTGAATTTAGATACCAGGCTGAGGGGCATGCCCTTTCCACTTTTATGATAAATGACAGTATCAAATTACTTCCTGGTCATCTGAGAAATTTCCATCCTAACATCAGTAACCCATAAAGAGATGGCTTGAAAATATGGAACATTCTTATGTTGAATCCACCTAACCTATTGATGTTTAATCTGAATACCTCCTCTCATGAGTTGGGCAGAGATTTGTTTTGTCTTTAGTTTCCAGCCATTCAGCTTAATATGAAAGGGTGACTATACTGCTCATAACTACCTGATTGGAAACTTGGTGAGCACCAAATACTTTAACTAGAGGAAATATAATGCTGACTTATGACACAGAAAGACCAGGTGGTCATCTAAATCTATTTTAACTCTTTAACATATTCTACTGGGACTCCTGTTATTTACAGACTCATCCCAAGACATTTTGCAGAGAAGCACATTGTGCTCCTCTGGTGCCATCATTATTTGGTCTATGGCTTGGGATGCTCCTGGAATACAACCAAATTATTTTGAGTTCAATTCTTTTCACACTTTGTTCATGTCTTAAAATTTCCTACCTTCATTTGCCACTTGGGTTATTCTTTCCTTATGCTGGATAATGGTCTTCTTAAACCATTTTATCAAGTTATTTTAGTTCCTTCTACTTCCGGAGAACTGTCTTGGGAACTAGTGTCATGGGTTAAAATAGCTGATGTAATTCAACCATGAAATTCTCAAACCGTAGTCTTGTTCTGAGAAATGGAATCAGCCCATCCTGTAACTGTTCTCAGAAATACACATCTTGAATAAATAAATTCTATCGTAATGGAGGAAAGGCTGCCATTTTAAAGCATTTATTTAATAAAGAAGGAATCTGCATTCTCTCTCTCCCATATGTATATATGTGTGTATATGTGTGTGTGAGTATATGCATACAAACACACTTTATATAACTTGTTGTTTCTGCCTGCTTGCCAATAAAACTTTCAAAAATGAAGTTCAATTCTACAGGGATACACTTCCCAACTATCCTAAGATCCTAAAATAGATAAATTTAATTAATTTTCAATTCCCTTCCCTTAAAGAACTCAAAGCCCCTCTTCTACATAACATTTAAAGGTACAGGAACCCTCTCCAGTTTTCTTGTGAACTGTGGGAACATTTAGAGGAGGTAGGACTATATGCTTACCTTACATAACTTCATAAGGTTTTATTGCTTAGACACAGCAGCACAAGGCTATTTGTGTGCAGCTTTCCAGCTTCACTGTGCTTCCTAAAACACTCAGTGGAGTATCCTGCAAGTACTCAATGAAATGCATGCCTTCCAAAATTTCACAGATGAAAACCAGGACATATGTGATCAGGTGATATCAAAATGTGGCCAAGATGGCAAAAATTGTTAGTGAGGATGAAAACGCAAACTGCAGCCGTTTCTTTTTAGCTAGGGCAGAGTTCTGGGCCCTTCACTTCCATCCTCATTTTGAGTTGAGTAAAAGTACTTTTCTCCTCTGTGATTTGAACTTTCAATCATGACTTTGAAGGCCACGGTTCAAATTCCAATCAGCTATGGATATCCACTGGATTGACCTTGAGTAAATCACACCCTCTCAGCCTCAGTGAATCCCCTGGAACAAATCTTGTCACGAAACCCCTGTGATGGATTCACTTTGGAGCTGCCATAATTCTGAAGTGACTTGAAGACATATTATCACAGTGCAACAGTGCTCAATTATCATGTTAAGTTGTCTGAAGTAAATAGAACATATCACTAAATACCTTCCAAGACTCCCCATCTCTGCTAGTCTATATAGGCTAGGGATGTAAATCTCTGTCAATTTCCTACAAATACCTTTTACCAAAGGTTGCTGTGAGTTTTTTGGGCTGTATGGCCATGTTCCAGAAGCATTCTCTCCTGACATTTCACCCACATCTATTGCAGGCATTCTCAGAGGTTGTGAGGTCTCTTAGAAACTAGGCAAGTAGGGTTTATATATCTGTGGAATGTCCAGGGTGGGAGAAGGAACTCGTGTCTGTTTGAGGCAACTGTGAATGTTGCAATTGGATACCTTGATTACCATTGAATATCTTTGCAGCTTCAAAGCCTAGCTGCTTCCTGCCTGGGGGAATCCTTTTTTGGGAGGTGCTAGCTGGCCCTGATTGTTTCCTGTTTGAAATTCCCCTGTTTTCAGAGTGTTGCTCTTTTTTTACTGTCCTGATTCTAGAGATTTTTAATACTGGTAGCCAGATTTTGTGGGCAAAACATCAGGAGAGAATGTTTCTTTAACATGGCTATACAGCCTGGAAAACCCACAGCAACTCAGTGATTCCAGCCATGAAAGCCTTTGACAACACAACTTTTATCATTTATCTCTTTGCTCAGATAAAGTCTTTCAAACTGGACGGTTTCTGTCATTTGGGAGTTGTAGTTGCTGGGATTTATAGTTAACCTACAATCAAAGAGCATTCCGAACTCCACCAACAATGGACTTGAACCAAACTTGGCACACAAAACTCCCATATTGGAAGGGTTTGGTGGGCATTGACCATGAGTTTTGGAGTTGTAGTTCACCCACATTCAGTGTAGACTCAAGCAATGATGGATTTGGACCAAACTTGGCATGAATACTCAACATKCCCAAATGTGACCACCAGTGTAGTTTGGGGATACAGACCTTGACATTTGGGAGTTGTAGTTGTTGGGATTTATAGTTCACCTACAATCAAAGAGCATTCTGAACCCCACCAACAACAGAATTGGGCCAAACTTCCCACACTTCCCATGACCATGTGTTTTCTGATRGTCTTTGGCGACCCCTCTGACACCCCCTCGCGACCCCACAGGGGTCCCGACCCCCAGGTTSAGAAACGCTGATTTAACCCATTGCGCCACTGGAGGAATCAAAAGAGCCTGTAGGCTTCTCTGCCAAAGAGTGCTGGTGCCTCTCCAAGTTACAAATCCCAGAATTCCATAGCATGGAGTCATGGCAATTAACATGGTGTCAAACTGCATTCATTCTACAATGTAGATACATCCTAAGATTTTGCTTTACAGGCTCAGAAACCTGTTTTATAAACACAAAATATTATTAAAATATTTTCAAATAGTATTTCCATGCTAGAATGATCCTATGAAAAGGAGAATTAATTTTTCACATATCATTAATTCTATCCCTCATAGTTTCCTGTATACTGGCCGCTTAGTTCTTTGGACTTTGGTCATGTATAAGATGAAAAGATAAAACCGTTGTTATGGTCAGTGCCCTATGAAAATGGATGGATCTCCTCCAACCCAGCCAGAATAAGTTGCTCACATGATAGAAACGTTTCCTTGCACATCTGTTATATCCTTAGGAAAAGGATATGCTTTATTTAATCTTTGAGTAGAAACTGCAGGCATGGATTTAAAATACTGTTTGCCTCTAGAGAATGGTTACAAGTTATCTTTTTTAAAAATAAGAAAATGTTTTCATACTTCTATGCTTTATTTTGGGATTTTTAGTGCACTCTGTCCCTCCTGGCTCAAAGGAAATGGCTACTAAAAATAATCAAAATATTTTTGAAAAATATTGACTATATGCAGAGTAATCAAATACCTGTTTCTCAACTGCTGGTTCTCAACCTTCCTAATGCCATGACCCATTAATACAGTTCCTCAGGTTGTGGTGACCCCCAATCACAAAATTATTTTCATTGCTACTTCATAACTGTAATTTTGTTATGAATCGTAATGTAAATATCTGATATGCAGGATGTATTTTCATTCACTGGATCAAATTTGGCACAAATACCCAATATGCCCAAATTTGAATATTGGTGGAGTTGGGGGGATTGATATTGACATTTGGGAGATGTAGTTGCTGGGATTTATACTTAATCTACAATCAAAGAGCATTCTGAACTCCACCAGCAATGGAATTGAACCAAACTTGGCACACAGAACTCCCATGACCAACAGAAAATACTGGAAAAGTTTGGTGGGCATTGATCTTGAGTTTTGGATTTGTAGTTCACCTACATCCAGAGAGCACTGTGGATTCAAACAATGATGGATCTGGACAAAACTTGGTACAAGTCCTCAATATGCCCAAATGTGAACAACTGGTTGAGTTTGGGTAAAATAAACATGCTATTTGGGAGTTGTAGTTGCTGGGATTTATAGTTCACTTACAATCAAAGAGCATTCTGAACCCCACCAACAATAGAATTGGGCCA